GGCAAAAGCCCTAGGTCAGCGCGGGGACTCGGTCCCCGCGTCATGACCTAGGGGCCAGCTTCGGGCGCTTCGTTCCCGGGCGGAAACTAACCACACGGCCCAGGGGCAAAGGCCCTAGGTCAGCGCGGGGACTCGGTCCCCGCGTCATGACCTAGGGGCCAGCTGCTTTGGGCGCTTCCCGGAAACTAACCGCATGGCCCGGGGGCAAAGGCCCTGGGTGAGCGTGGGGACTCGGTCCGCGCGTGATGACCTAGGGGCCAGCTGTGGGCGCTTCCCGGGAACTAGCCGCACGGCCCAGGGGCAAAAGCCCTAGGTCAGCGCGGGGACTCGGTCCCCGCGCCATGACCTGGGGGCCAGCTACATCGCCGGCGCTATGGGCCAGCTTCTTCTTTTCTTTTCTCTTTGTTCGTGGTAGGCTAACGGACCCAGTGTGGGCAAGCAGTCAGAGGAGCTCCGTCCGCAGGTCTGTCGCGGATCAGGGAATGGATGCAGGACACACAGAGACACCGAGCTGCAGGGGCCTGCCTGCCCCGTGCCACCACAGCCGCCGAACTCGTCCCAGACAAATGCCGGAAGGTCGCCGCACGGGGACTCTGTCCCCGTGCTCGGACCTTGTTTCTAATGCATGACCGCAATTACTCTGAGTACGATACTTTTGCGCAGGATAAGAATTTCCTCGTTCTCCCTGATCTCTTCGTAGAATTTCCGCTTCTCCTGCACCTCGTCCTGCGGATGGTAACCCGACGCGCTGCTGCTGCTGCCCTCAAAACCACTCAGAAGTTGTGCCCGGTCCTCGTCTACTTCGCGGCGCGAGCAGCTCCCGTGCAAGTCCTCGTCCTGACATATTATTTCGGAAAGTGTTGACGGACATGAAGTTGATGACAGAAATAAACTCGCAGAAGCTCCGAAGGTACTATGCAGACAGACTGCACCAGCAGCACACTGCACAGCAAGGGACACCACGATTGTACTTGTTGTACTACACAAAAGTCATATAGAATTTTACATATTTTCTAGTTGAATCATGTACCTCGTCCTCTTCATCATCCCCCTTGGGGTGGTAGTCCAATTCTAGCGTATCCAGGAAAAAATATCCATCCCCATCCATTTTTGAAATGACAAACGCTGCTCTTGATGCATGTTTTGCATTACAAATTGGATGGGGATGGGTGTTTTTTCCTGGATATAGCGTGATTCGGTCGTACAGGTGGTCCAGCCCCTGGTTGTGCATGGCGGAAATCGCCACCGGATCGCCCAGGTTCAGGTCGTAGCAGTCCGCAGCCCAGTCCCCAACATAGCCGCCGTCTGCCTTGTTGGCGACCAGAATCAAACTCTTCAGTGGCCTGCTCCCGGAAGCCGGGTTCTCACCGCTGGCGTGTCTCGAGTCGACGGCGCTTTTAGTACCACTTCTGCCTCGAAGATTTTTGTCAGCAGCAGCAGTTGCAGTAGCAGCATTGCGCTGTTTATTCCTCCTACTTCCTGTTGTAGAGGCGTCAATACCGCTTCCGAAGATGCACTCCTCGTCGCCTGCAGACGCAGCGTGAGCTGCACAGGAGGCATTCTCCCTTGCCGCAGCAGCTGTATCGCCTTCGCCACCCAGAGCAGCAGTAGTGGTCCTCCCTGTAGCTGTTCCTTGCTGCATCTTTTTCAAGTGCGAGTCCAAGTTCTTCACGAGCGGCAACAGCTCCGCGTCGTTGTGGATCAGGTCCTGGGCTGCCTGCACGTCCAGTGGCGTGATCCCCGCTTTCGCATCCACCACGAAGAGGATCACCTCCGCCTCCAGAAGGGCCGCCCGCGCCTGGGCCCGCATCTGCGCGAGGATGTTGCTCTTCACGGTGGTGCGCAAATCTTCCACGCCCCCCGTGTCCACGGCGTGCACGATCAGAGAGCCGAACACGCCGGTCCCCTCCAACCGGTCCCGGGTGGTGCCCGCGCGGTTGTGCACGATGGCCTTGGCGCTCTTCGCCGAGCCGGAAACCAAGCGGTTGAAGAGCGTTGACTTACCCACATTCGCCCGCCCCACGACGGCGATCTTCACCTCCCGTGCGTTGCTGAACAGGTTCGGGTTGCGCAGCAAACTCATCTTATTTTTCACCCGGTTTTTTGTGCTGCGGGACGCAAAGGTTCGGCGGGTCGTCCTACTCGTGTGGAAAGCGTAGTGGGGTCCCGGTGCAGCATGGGGCCCTACGGGTTGTAGCGGCGTCGACGAAATGAGTGCGAAGGAGGTGCTCCTTCCGCTTCTGTTACCCCGCTCTCGACGTCCGGCGCTTCCGGCACGGAGAAGTAAATGCGGAACTGCGGGGGTCCTAGGCAGCTCGAGGACTATTGATCCAGCACGAGAACCACTCGTCCCCGCAGCTGGTGCACAGCGGTCGGTCTTGCGGGTCTTTCGCCAGGTCGGCGGGGGGCGGGCGCCCCGGGCGCCCCGACTGCTCACGCTGTTGCCAATCTCTTCCATAAGAAATGGCGCCGAAGATATGTGCTGCGCCGATGAAGTAGATTTGGAGCAGGAAAACTGAACGCTGGCAACGCGGGTAAAGAGTCCTCCCGGCTTCATGGTAATCTAAATGTCGAGCTCAGGATTTGCTGAGTGTGCTGGAATGAAGAACCATGATCGATTTGTTCGTTGGATCCTAGGATCATCAAATTCCAACGTCCCACTTCGCTGATCGGTTTCAAAACCGAAAGACCTTGCGCTTTTTTCAGCCGGAAAAAAAAGAGATCGCAAGAACGTAGCTGATCTGGTTTTGTTCTCAACAAGCAGGTCGAAGACACTTGTCATCTGCATCAAAATCGAAAAAAAAGCGACTCTTTCCTCGCTCATAAGAACACGGCGACCTTTTTGACTAGCAACAAGGAAGAGCGAGACCGCCACAGGTTCCCCATGCGCGGCCAAGGTAGATGATGTTTGGGTATGTGCTACAACCTGATACTTATAATGAGACAGACATCCAAATTAATTTGCACTATGTTGACACTGCCCGGTTAATAGTATTTCTTTCTTCTAACAGTCTTTGCGCTTCCTGTCTGACCGCGGCCCACTCTTCGCCCCCCAAATCCTGGAGCTGAACCTGCGGACTTACCGGCGAAGCTTCCAGTTGCGCCCGGCTCTGCCGCTCCACTTCCTCTAAGGTGAGCCTTCGGCCCTTCTCCTGCGCGGGGGGCTGCCGCACCTTCATCCGCTCTGCGTTCCAGTCCTTTAGCATTTTCAGGCCGACGGCGCTGACCCCGCAGAGGAGCAAGCCCCCGGCGAAAAGTCGGTACCGCTGCAGCTTCTGCGGCGTGCTCATGCTGGGCTCAAAAGACTGTAGCATCCGTGCAAAGGGGTACACCGCGCCGACAGACAGCGCGGCATACATAAAAGTTCGCATGGTGGTTCTGCTTTGTACGGTAAGGGTAGTTTTTACGCTTCTATATTCTTGATATCCGAGATGATCTACTTCTCGACTGATCGTCATCGTTCTTTATCAAAGCGCATAATTCATTCGCTCGCCTCAGCTACTTACTCTCTGGATAAGTATTCCGATAAAAACAGTCTCCAAGTTTATTTTTGCGACAGCTTTTTTATTTTTTGCAGCATCAATAGAACAGCAGTGTCACGACCTACCAAGCACGCACCAACAAAAATCGTGCAGTTTTGTACACACGCCAACAACAGGAGGTAGAGAGAAACTTCTGACGAATCCTTGTCGTGTTCATGACCAAATACCACACGTACCAGCCAGAAACATGCGGAATCTTTTGAAGTAGAACGGTTTTATTTTTGAATGTCCCTGCTCTGAATGAAGAAAACAAGAGCAAACGAAAACGTTGCCCACCAGCAGCCGTCTGAGGAACAAATAATTTCACGACGTCCAGACCGCAAATCGTTTCCTGTCCCGGTCGTTCCGTTCCAGCTCTTTTAACAAGCGCTGCTCCTCCGCCTGAATTTCCTCCAGCGTTTCCCCGTCCCCCATCTCCTCCACCGGAATCGGCTTCATCCCCGGTACGGGCGGGGCGAAATCGGCGAAGTTCATCAGGGCTTTGTCGTCCTTCAAGCGGTCTAACGCGAGGGACGAGAAGTAGTGGTAGCGTTTCGTGAACAGAAAATGCAATAATCCCGTCGTAACACCGCAGAGAAACACACGCTTGGAAAAGCGGTGAAGCTGCGCCCACCGCACCGCGGTCGACTTGGTGGCGCGGGGATGTTGATGTTGATGTTGCCGGAGTACTTGGGACGGCATGAATTGTGCTGGATGCTTCACCGCCGCCCCGGGAGGAGGCTGGGCCAACGGTGCTCTAGATGAAGAGCTGCTTGAAATAGATGATCCCGACGCGGAGGTTGGATCATGCCCGGTGTGGTGATGCTTCCAATCGTCTACCGGAGGGTCAACGTGCTTGGAGTACCGTGCGAGAGAGTAAACGGACGCGAAAGCGGCGCCGAAAGCGAACGACGAGGCCATTCTCCTTTTATTCCTCTTGATTTTTTCTTTTTGATGTAGTGGTGGATCGTAAGACAGTATTTACAAACCGCTGCGACGTGCTATTGAAAATACGCAATTCTAGTTCAGCGCTCGACATTCTTCTGGCGCAGGGAAGATGCGGCTTTTCAAACAAAATTGGAGGAAAAACGATTTCAACAGGAGACCGGAACACGTGCTCGAGGTGGCTACGAGGACAAACTGCCGCTTTACTTCTGCAGCTGCTCAGTATTGCGAGACGGATTCATTTTTGCTTTGTACCGCCTGAACCAAAACAAATACAGTTAAAAGTTCGAAACAGTTTCATGATCTCCCAACAAATGTAATAGTGTGGGGCCACCGTCTTCACGAAAATAAGGTCGTGCGCTACTAGGTAGATTGGAATATTAACCTCCCGTCTTGGACCACTGGACTTTTTTGCGCCATTACGTATATTCCAAAAAAAATTATACAATTGAGGAGGTGCTGGGTAGGCTTTTCATAGTGTAAATCGAAGAAAACATCATGGAAGAGTCATTTAGCGGTACTCTTCTTGGACAAACTCGATCTTGCACACGCTCCAACAAGCAGTCTAACCGACTAGTGCTTTGCTGAAACTCGTGTGCGACGTGATCATCTGCGTGCTAATATGAAGATGGCATTTAGGTAAGCGCGTGCACGACCCGTCGGAGGCCACACGGCCTACAATCTGCAATCCAAAAAAGTCTTAATATCAACATCTCCGTCATGAGCGGAACTACAACTGCACGACCTAGTAGTAGGTACGACCTTCACGGAGTAGACTAAGATTTTTACAGCACTATACAACAAACTGTCATCTACTACTTACTCCATGTGGATAAACAAGTTTTTCCTACACACGACCTTTCTACTTCTTCCGCCCCAATCCTACCTGAAACAAAGCGTTCCAGGGACACGTACCGCAGCTGTCAATCTCAAAACTGACGAGGTCGAAATCCTTCCCGAACACGCTTGCCATGCTGGACAGCGAGTCCCGGTTGCAGTTGCAGCCGTCGCTGACCCGCGCCCACCACGGGTTGAGCCAGTCCTGGCGCTTCCGGCGCCAGGAGTTCCGCGGGAGCGCCGCCACGTGCTCGGAGAAGAAAATCCGGCCCGTCTCCGGTTTGAGCAACCGTTTCAAATCTTGCAAAATTTTCTCCACGTCGTCTACCATGCAGAGCGCGTTGCCCAGTAAAATGTAGTCGATACTGTTCTCCGGGATCCGCTTCGCGTACTCTTGCAGGTATTCCGTGACAACTTCGACCTCCGGGATGTGTTTCAGCATCCTCCGGCGCGGAAAGGTGCCGAGGGAGGTAGTGAAGGTGTTGGAGTTGGATTTGATATTCTTATTTTCCTCAAACATACTCCTATTGTACGCCCTCGGATCATAATTCTTGTCGTTTTGCACGTTTTCATCATTGTTGCTGTTTTCAAATAAATCGAGCTGATGTTGTTCTTTTCGCGGGTAGAAGTCCTCCTTCTCGTCCACGCCGCCGGCCACCATTTCGTCGTCCAGAGCGTAGTCTTCTGGTGCCGTCGCCCGGCTGGACGTTGTGGAAACGCGTCTTCGAATCGTCGTGGACGACGAACTCACAGCACTCGTCGTCCGCTCGAGCTTCATCGGATTGTTAGATTTTTGAATGCCGTACTGATCTTGGATCGGGCTTGCAGGAGCTGCTCCTGCGGGTGGACTACTTCTGCCACCCCGGCCACTAGTGACTTTATTCCACGAGGAAACGCTATCCGTCCGGAACAAAAGTGGCTCCTCCTCCTCTACGTCGCTGACATCGTGCGTTGTAGGAAACAAATCCTCGGTTTGAACCGAGAATGAGCTTGGCCGGGGTTTCTGGAGTTTCGGAAGCGAAAAATCCGTGCTGCTCGCCGTGGTGCTCTCGGTGATGGTGCGGCGGAGCGCCGTCGCGTTGGGCAGCTTCGGTGAACAGGCGGAAGAGGTAGGGGACGAGGGAGTTTCCGTTTCGGACAGCAGGGTTCTTCTCGAGGGTAAAAAATGACTTCCGAATGAACCTCCAAACAGCTCCGGGTCCGAGCTCTTGCGCGGTGGAATGGAAAATTTATTTTTCTCATGAAGATGCGCTCCTTCACCTTCTGCTGCCCTTTCTAACTCTGATGGTGGTGAAGATGATGTGATGGTGTCCACTTTCGCAACCCCGGTCGAAATATCGTCTGCGACAACTCCGAGTCTTTTTCCAGCCGGCGGGATGCTGGACACCGCCTTCGCCGGCATGGACACCGCTCGTTGCGGCCCCAGGAGCTCCTCGCACTCGCGGATCAGTTTCTCCGACTGCCTCTTCAACTGCGCGGCGATTTCCAAATTGGGTTCGAGCGCGATGTACTTGTGGACGAAATTCGCCTTGTTCCCGTCCTGCCCGAACTGGTTTTTCTCCGTTTTCGGAAAACAGTACTTCATGTACACACCGGACCCCGCGCCGAAGTCCAACACCGTCCCGTGGGCGTTCTTCAGCAACTCCGCCCGCACCCGGCACATCCTATCGAGTGCAAATATGTCCGGGCCTGGAAAGTTGTAATGCATGTCAGCGAATAGCATAGCACACTGCAATGCACCGCGAAGCAAGACAGGTTTTTCCGTGGCTCTGTGTTCTTGCGTAGCCCGCATGAGAAACAGCGTTCTTACATGACAGACGGGAGGAGCTCTTCATCGTGGCCACGCAATACAGAGCGCAGCGTCATGCCACACCAGCATAGGACAAGTATCGCACTCATCTTCCCGACCAAGACATATTTGCAGAATGCGTACATCCGCGCGTCCAGCGATCCCATCATCGGGGGGAGCGTGTAGGGCGTCATCGTGGTCACGAACTTTTTCCCCACGCCGAACGGAATGTAGGCGATGACCGTGTAGAGGAGGATCAGAAACGCGGTGATGATAGTTTTGCACGGGTGGGACACCGCGGAACAGGAGAGAAAATGCGCCCGGAAATAGTGCGCGTAGTGCAGAAACTGAAACGAGGTGGAAGCTGTAGTAGCGGTCGTACTGCTGCTTGTCGTGCCGGAGCCGGGTCCATCGGGGACAGTACTTGAATTTAGGGCGGTACTGCTTGATGCGCTATCTCTGGTCTTTTGATCGGGACTAGAGATATCAACTGTAAAAATGTCTGGGTCTGGAAGAATGCAAGATTTGTGATGCAGTTTTTCCATGACCCATGGGGCCTGGAATGCAGCACCTAGCATGACAAACGCTGTGAGGTGTCTATCATGCCTATTCTGCATGAGAAACTCGCTGCCAAACTGGTCAAAAGTGGCCATCTTTTGGTAATCATGCAACACAAATTTTTGCATGATCCAGATTCAGCATGACAAGTTGCAATCTTCCAGACCCAGACATTTTTACATTTGATAAGAGAGATTCCGAAGCTTACTCCGGTGCTCCATGGCGCTCCTGCTCAGGCTTAAAAGCTGATTTCTATGAACTCCAAAAGTATCGCACTCGTATAAATGCATTACAAATTTCCTCAGCATGAGAAATAAAATTTGTAATGCGGATTTACCCTAAGAAAAAGATTTGTAATGCATGACTGCAATACGAATACGATACTTTTGCACAGGATAATTCCCGAGTTGCTGCAAAGTTGTTCTTATGCCTTTGGAAGACGAGGATGACCGCCCAGATGTTGTTGTTGAACTCGGTTTTTTATCTCTTCTGTCTGCCTGCTCGTTTAGCATGTCCCGCCCCATAGTGTACACCTCGTGGCACTCGAAGAGGGAAAATATCTGCGCTTTCTCCGGTAAAATATGCACGGTGACCGCCGGAAAATCCTTGGACATCGACCGCGAAAACTCGCTGGTGCGTCGCCGCAGCGGCGGAAGCTCGTCCTCGTCGGGGACCAGGGAGGGGACTTCGGTGGACACATCCTCCTCGTCAGGAACCGGCTCACAGAGGATTTTCGAGTCCTCGTTCTCCTGTGACCGGGTTGTAGCACCAGCGGCGGGGCCAATGATCTCCGGAGTAGACATTATGTCACACGGCCGCGAACTAGTACGAACGAGTATACCGCAGTTCCCGAAGTATGGCTTTTTTATCCTGAAAACCAATGGTCGCTGTGGCGCCGCTTCCTATACGGGAGCAGCTCGGCGGCGCGCGAGTGTAGTTACGCGATCCGGGGGAGCGCGGCTCAACGGCATAATTTCAACGTCACACATTCCTCTACAGAGCGAGCTTAAAATCCGTTATTGCCTGGCACATACACTGCGCGCTTTCTTATTGTCGCAAAAAAAAAAGAACGACCGCGGCGGGATCTATTGGTGTAATATGGTAGGTCGCGTCACTGGAAACCGTAAATGCGATTTGGCAAGAGCAAAGCAAATGTGCCACTATGAACGCGCATGCATTTGTTCAATTTTCATCTGACTGGGAGGGTACAAGAAAAATGTCCACAAAAAGGGGTTCCCTGGAAGTAATTTTTGAACGACATGGAAAACGGTTTGCTGCGTCAGTGCGACGCACAGAAACGATTTGCAAAGACAAAAGAAACAGTGGGCTCTCATGTTACCGAATGGCGGCCTTATTTGAGCGTGTTTCACACGACCGAAGTTTGTGTTCACTCTGTTCATCTACTTTCGGTTTGGAAGACGTATGGCACCGACTGGATAAACTTTTTTCTATCGGGTCATGGAATCGACAGATTATACTACGCTTCAAGAAATTCAGCTGTTTTTTACGTATCAAAAAAAACCAGTAGGACAAAAACAAAATCAAATTTTGCAACACGATAAATATTTGCGGAAGCAAGGGCTCCGAAATTATGTTTGATCCTTGGAAGAAATAAAACCTGGTCCTTCAGGTGCGATCCATTGCAACTGTCGTCCCCTCGTGATGCAGAGTTTAGGAAACCGCTCTTTGCAAAATATGTTTACTTATGAATGATGCGTCAGGGCGTATTAGCGTGATCTGATTATCAAATCAGATAGGGACAATGCACCCATGCTGCACAATTACACGGCATGTACTTGCTGTCATCGTTTATGTCACACGTCACGCGTAGATCATGTGAAAAAATGTCGCTAGTATAGTAATTTTATTCTGTGCAAGGTGATTCCAATGTAAACAATACCAGCCACACGTCAATTTTTCGAAAAATTACCTCCTGCCGTTCGGTCCTGGCTTGAGGATGCATTTCCCTTTTGCAGGTTTCAGATCCATATGGTTTGCAAAAATGTCTGGGTCTGGAAGATTGCCAGATTTGTCATGCAGGTTCTCCGTGACCCATGAGGTCTGGTGTGTAGGACATAGCATGACAGATTCTGTGGGACCTTTCGAATGCCTATCCTGCATGAGAAACTGCCTCTCGATTAGATCAGAGGTGCACAACTTTTGGCAACCATGCGACACAGTTTTTTGCCTGATTCAGATTTAGCATGACAAGTTGCAATCATCCACACCCAGACATTTTTGCAATCCATAATCCACTGCCGCACCGCGGCAGAATTTCCGATAGAAATCCACCCCGGTAGAAGAACACGCAGTAGTGTTTTTTGCATTCACTTCTGGCGACGGCGTGGTTAACAACAGCGGATTTGCAATTCTCTGCGAGAGAGACGCCGGGTTCCTCTGCGTCAGCATCCCGGGGTTGCGCTGCGAAATACATCTCGCCTCGCCAGCTTCTTCCAGCAGCAGCCCATTTATTTTCCCATCGCCCGCGTTATTTTGGTAGCTCTGCTGCAGCTTTTCGACGTACCTCAGTTTTTTCAACTTCTCTTCCTGTGCTGCCTTCCGCCTCTGTGCCTCTTCTTCCTTCTTCTGCAATTCTAACCTTTGTCGCGCCTCCTTCTCTTCCTGGTAAATCTCGTCCAAGCGGCGGGTGCCCGCATTCTCACAGCGGTTCTGCTCCCGGAGGTGTAGTAATTCCTGGTAGTCGCGGTCGTATTGCGCCTGTCGCCGGGGGGAAATCTTCTTCGGGAGGACAACATTAGATTTAGTCGTCGTTCTTGCTGCAGCTGCTGCACCGGCGAAAAAGGGATAGGCTTTAGCACCACCTTCCGTAGCGGAGGTGGATTTCGATTGGGCACCACCCTCACGCTGCTCCTCTATCTTTTTCCCTCTCTGCTCTTTGAGGGTTACGCCCTTCATGAGCTTGAGATGCCCGGGCCGTTGGTCAAAAGAGACCTCCTCGAGGACGTCACTTTTTTCACCATCGCTGTTCGCTTTTCTTTCCTTCCGTGCTTTTTTCTTCTTTTTTTCTTTCTTGGATTTGTCATAATATTTCACTTTCTTCTTTTCCTTGACTGGCTTTATTTCTCTGTCGCTTTCCGAAGCTGCACTGGGATAGGACTGACCTTCTTCAATGGTGAACTTCGGGGAGGACTTCCGCGCACCCAAAACCTTCGTCTGAAGTGCCGACGAAAGTTCCTTCGGCTGGAAGCTCTTCTCGCTTTCGCTGGACAAAGATCTTTTTCTCTTATTGCTCATCCGGTTCTGCACACTCGCCAGCCACTTGCTTGAGCTCGAAGCAGCAGCTCCGCCAGCGCTTCCAGCCGCGCTTTCGTTCTGCTCATCGCGCTTGATTTTTTCCTCTTCGGCAGTAGAAGCATTGCGCTTTTTCACCGGCGTGGTCCCCACGCTGCTAGAGAGTATGCTTTTCTCCGCTGCCTCCAAGCTCGACGTGCGGCGGCGGCGGGTGGAGTCTACTTCTTGATGTTGCGCCGAATTTTGTACTGCGTCTTCCGTGTAGCTTGCCACTGTAGTTCCTGCTTGCGCGTTATAATTCCACGTACTAGCATTGTGATTCGTAGTCTTTATCTTCGTTGCCAGCTCCAGCGCGCCCTTCACGATGCCTTCATTCGATTCACCATCATGCTCAGGGCAGCAGCTTCTTGCGGATTTTTGTTCACCACGTCGCTCAACCACACTTGTCGATGCACTCGCAGCCGGAGGACCTGCTCCACCGCGCGGCTCTCCAAGTAGCTTATTGCTCCTCACGGATGTTGAGTTTGACCGCGTGCTTGTTTTCAACGACCCTGCATTTGCAGCTGGTTCCGATGCACCAAGGAGGACGTCGTTTAATATTTCTTCGTCTTTCTTCTCCCCCGCGCGGCGGCCATAATCGAGGTCCAGCAATCCCCTTTTCTCCTTCCCGAAGCCCTTCTTCCGTTCCAACAAGCTCGTGAAGTGTGCCGCGTTGATGCAGTGTAATAGAACGGTGGGCAACGGCAACTCCTCGGTCGTCTTCACCCCCGCGGCCACATCCGCTAAGGCAGGGGGCAGCCGGAGCTTTTCCCTCTCCAGCAAGGTCGCGAGAAACTTTGTCACACGGAAAAAGTGTTGACAGTTACACATTTGTTGCCAATTCAGCAACACAAATTTGTTCTCTGCCTGAGGCAGAAAACTTGCGTTGCAGAAATCCTACCGGAATAAAACACGTACGAAACAAGGTGTGTATGCATATCCGGCATGACAGAGGTTGTCTGTCTTGCTTTCCCTGCATAGTAGAAGGCTATGCGTGTAACAGTAACACTTTTTGCTTGCGATAAACTTTGTCAGCGTGGTGTACTTCTGTTCCGACTGCACCAAACTGTGCCCAATGGTGTACCGGAGGTCCTTGTACAAGCTCTTCCCGAGACACTCCTCGCTCCACAGATACTGGTCGATCGCCTCCGTTTCGTGGACACTATGCTTCGACTTCAAGCACTGCAGCGCCGTGAAGAACCGCAAGACCGCGGTATCAACTGCAAAAATGTCTGGGTCTGGAAGAGTCGGGGCTTGTCATGCACATTTTGCATGACCCGTGAGGTCTGTGATGCTGGTGCTAGCAACACAGATTTTTTGATTTTGAGAGCCTCTTGATGCTAATTACGCATGAGACACGCCCTCTCCGCGTGCCAAAAGCTGAGTCCTCTTGCTGCTCATGCAACACAGATATTTTTAGAATCCGCAGACAGCATTACAAGTTCCACTCTTCCAGACCCAGACATATTTGCAATCCATACGCGTCGCCGAGTAGCATTTTATCCGGATCATCTTCTTCATCTGTATTGCTTCCCCGGTCCAGCCACAGCTTTTTCCGCGCAAGCTGCTCGCATCACAAGGAAAAATCCCCCCTTCCCATATCAAACGGAAGTTTCTGATGCTGAATTTGCGTACACGAATCACGTGTGTCTTGCAGTAGAGGACTGCAGGCTCCTGCCAAGCCTGAGTAGAGAAGTTGTGGCCTAGGCGCTTAGCATGAGAAACGTCTATGGTGTAGGCCCAACAGCATCACAAACCGCCTGCATGATGCGGCAGAGCCTGTGGAGTTGTCTTCTTGCAAGACAAACGTGATTTGTGGTCTCAAATCAGCAAGACAAATTTTCGGAAACATACCTTTTCGATATGGGGAGGGGGGATTTTTCCTCTCAATAGCTCGGCGACGAAGTTCGCGAGCTGCTGCTGAACGTCGGTGGAACGGAACTTGGCCAAGGTGGACTTCTGCAGTAATATTAACGCAGGGTCCTCGAGGCAGCTTGAAGTTGTGCTTGTGCTGCGGTTTTTGTTCTTATTTTCATTAATGTTTATTATTTCTGGTGCAAGATGAACCTCGTCCGCTGCTACTCGCGATTTATTTTGTTCGTCCATCGGGATGAACATTTTGATGAGGCGGTCCTGCGCCCTTTTCGAGATCTCGTCCCAGTCGTGTTGCGCTAACGCGATCGTGCGTAGTTTCCCCAAGCCGTCCCGTACCTTCTGCAGAACGTCCTTCGCAAAATCAGAGGCGGCCGCGAGCTGGATGCATGCCAGGTCTTTGTTCAATTCGAAATTTTCCTCCTCTTCCGCCTCCAGAACTTCGAGAAAGCAGTCCCAGTTGACGTAAACATCGAACCTACTATCGTGTTGTTGTGTTGTACAGGAGCCGGTGGTTCTGTGTGAAGATTTTTGTGTTCTTTCAGCATTTTGTCTTCCTCCAAGAACTGCTGTCGCCGTGACCTCCACCGGCTTTGCATCGAAATCCTTCGCCTCCACCTTCTTCGTCGGCAACCTTTCCCCCAGAAGCTCCCGCCACTGCGTGCGGGGCGCCCACCAGGGGAGATCGGTGGTGACCAGTTCCGCTAGGGGGTACGTTTGCCGCGCCGCCTGCACGTCGTGGAGTTTGTTCGCCGCTTGGATGCAGTACCGGTGGCCGTCAAAGTAGAGGAAGTATTCGAACCTGCCGTTCGTGTGGGGCACGTTCCGGGTGTCCCGGCACGCCCAAAACACCGGACAATTGTTGATCCACGGCTCTTATCCTGTGCAAAAGTATCGCACTCGTAGCAATCGCTGTCATGCATTACAAATTTTTTTGTCAAGTGAAAACCGCATTACATTTCTCACGCTGAGGAAATTTGTCATGCGATTTATACTAGTACGATCATACCTTTGCAATGCATAGTTTTTCCTCGTCCAGTTTGTACCCCCGGTTTAAATACGGGTATTTCAGAAATCCAGAAAGCCAAAACTCCGTCCGCTCCTCGCCTCGCACGCAGGCGGAGAGTTGGATGTGCTTCCCGTCGCGGAGGTGGAGTTGCGGGAGCCGATTTTGTCTGGACTCGATCGGGTCGTCAATCACATCGTCTTCCGGAGCGACCACGCACGATTCCACCGCGGCTTGCAGCGCGCTGTACAGACCGCGATAGGTCTTGTCCCGCTGCGAGTGCCGCACGTGCCGGGACTTGATGAGCTTGGCGGAATTTTGGGTCTCCAGCTCGCGCTCCGGGGAGACAAAGAGGTTCTGGAGAAGGCGCATGAGAGGGAGGGGAACCTGGGTTTCTTTTTGTGCAGGTAAAAAAATAGCATTGATTCGCAAACACTGCAGTGAGATTTTTAAAAAATTTTGAATAGCAGAAATTAGAGCATAGCTTTTATACCTAGCATCTTCATTCAGCACTGAAAAAATATATGATCCCTTTTATACCTTCTGCGGCAGCAGCTGTAATTTCTCGATCGCCGCCTTCGTCTTTTCATCGCAGTAGGGTCTTGCATTTACCTATCACAGGAAAAAAGTGTTACAGTTCCACATTCGTTGCAATTTCAGCATCACGAAGTCGCTCTACCGCGTAGCGAAGAAAACTTGTAATGCGCAGACGATAAGGGAAAAGAACACGCATGAAATGAGGCTGGAAAGCATTTCCTGCACGACAGAGGTTATCTCTCTTGCTGGTCTTGCATCAGAGTTTGTAAGTAACTGTAACACTTTTTTCTTCGCATATTACCCCGTACTTCTCCGCAAACGCTGCCTTCATCGCAACACAGTATCCTGAGTAAAAACGTCCCCACCCCATAGTTGTCATGCTAAACAAAATGCGACGCACTTTGCCCCCCCTTTGTGCCATGGCCGCAGATGGCTTGAGACGCAGGGCGGGTGGGTCAGGCGGACACCAAAGTGCCATCACCATCATCTCCCGGCCACTATATTCCAACCCCATAGTTGTCATGCAGATTTGCAGTCACAGGAAAATTTGTAACGCGCATCCCCATGAGAGGCGTTTGCAATCGTGTTTTGGACTCTGTAATGCTGCAAAGAGGATGAGCAGATGGCTTTGTGATGCGGCTGCGCTTGCTAAACTGTACTACAATACAGAGAGGAACTTGTCATGCGTGACTCCCAAAACTTCTTGGCTTGTGTTGCGAGATCCCCATCTTGACTCTCGGGTGGGGATGTTTTTCCTTAGGATACACAGATCTCCTTCGTCTCCTCGCAGACGTTTTCGGACAGCACCTGGAGCTCGAAACAGAGTTCATGCCCCAGCAGCGCTTCAAACAAATTGCTCATGGCCGGTTTGTTGTCTCGCAGCGCGTGCCACCCGAGCGTCACGGCCTCCTGCTGATCTTGCAACGACAGGCTCTCCTGTCGGTCGCGGTAGCGCATCTCGAAATCAACCAGGTTGTACCCGAACATGAGGTTACGCAGGCGGGGCCCGGTGCCGTTCCGGCGGTTCCGATCGATCACGACCATACCCTTCACGTACATGCGGTTGCGGGTTTCGACGCTGGCAAGCACCTCCACCTGCATTCTGGGCGGGGCTGCGTCAAAAACCTCTTCGTCGTGGTGGGAGTGGTCGGCCTTCTTGTTGGCAACATCCAAGAGAATTTGCTTTCCGCTAGCCCGAGATGAATTAGCATGATTCAATATCATCTCCGGCTTTTTTACAACGAGCTGCAACACCTGGTCAGATATGCACTCCAAAAGCATCGCATTTGTAGTAATCGCGAGCATGCATCAGCAAGACAGATCTACCTCTGTACCACGCTAATCAGCATTGCAAATTCAATTTTTCATGCTGAGAGAAAGTCTGTGAAGATGCAATTCATACTAGTATCGGATTTCTACTTTTGCCGTGCTTATCAGAACGCAGGAAGAACAGATACCGACTGTAGTCGAACTGGAACTGGGGGGCGTAGATACGGACTAAAGTATCGCTGTTCGCATCGAAATCAAGCTCCGGTGGGAAAGAACCACAGCTATTTCGATTGTTGTTCATCCCGCAAACACTACTACTACTCCCCCGCGTGGTCCCCGCAGCTGGTGGTGGTGTGTTATACATATCAAAAGGCTCCACCGTGTAGGCTAAAGTCTCGACCCCCGTCGGACTCGCTTTGTCGCTGAAGAAAAACGTGTAGCGCCAACCGCACGTGAAAATTTCCACGGACCGCTTCATTTCCTTACAGGAGGACGACAAAAGCCGGTTGATGGAGCTGTTCAGCCCGTCGCCGAATTTCCCCTTCGCCATATTACCATAAAAAACGCCCCCACCCCCGAACTTGGGAGCATTCGTATTGCAAACCTTTCCACCTGAAACACTCGCCCTTTTGCGTCTATCAGCGTCACAGACTTTCCATCTTCGTGAATAGCAAAAATTTGCATTGCAAAAGATCCCAGCAAGAGCGTCGCTTGTCATCCGAACGATGCTATTTACGCCTAGAATCTGAATCAGAAAGATTTACACTCCTTTCAGGCATGACAAAAAGTTTTCACTTGGAAACTTCGCATCACAAATTATTGCAACTTTGGGGGTGGGGGCATTTTTCACTGTGATACGCCAGCTTCCGGGCTTGACACGTTTCCCGCTTCTCTTCCCCCGTGTAGCCCACCACCAAGTTCCGCGGGCGGAAACACGTCTCGTAGTTAAGCAGGTAGATGTAATCGGAGGAGACCCCGAGACACCCGAGGCGGTGCTTCTTGTTGGAAGCAGCAGTACTACTATCATGTGTAGTTGCAGCACTAAGTGCGCCGTTCCGCGGGGGTCTACTACTTTTTCGGTGTTCTACTCCTTCTGCGGTAGTAGATGAAGAAACAGGAGAACAACGGAGCAAGTACCCGAACTGCGGGCGAAACCGCGACGTGTGGCTGTAGTACAGCCGGCGAGTAGTGGTCGTCCTGACTGTACAAACGGCGAACTCCGGCTCCGTAAATTCGACGTGTATGCTGGGGAAAAACGCCGGAGTCCCCAACCGACGAGAGCTGTCATGCAAATCGGCATGCCTAAAAAGTTTCTCATGCGCAGCCACATGACAGGCCGCCTTTTCCAATGCTGTCTCCGGGGAGTTTGTCCTGGGCTAGAATCTTCACGAGTCGCTTTATAATCTATTCATGCGGCGGCACTAGCAAAACATCAGATCAAAGTGCTCGCCCAAACTTGTCTAGTGCGCACGCATATTTTCCTATTTTACACGGATATAAAAAATTGGTACCCAAAATTTCTGGATCTGCGTTGCTAGGCTTTCCGCTTGACCCTGGGGTGGAGGTGACGTTTTTACACAGGATAGCGTGCGCATTCTGGTTCATCAGCCGCACGTGGTATCGTAAGCAAAAATCCCCCCTCCCCATATCGAAAAGGCACGTCTCAGGAAATTTGTAATGCTCATTTGTGACCTCAAATCATCTCTGTCTTGCAGGGCCGAAACTACACAGGCTCCGCCGCATTCTGCAGGCGGTTTGTGATGCTGTTGGCCCTACAGACTAGGCGTTTGCCATGCTTAGCGTCTAGCAGAAAACCTCTCTACTCAGGCTTAGTATAGGCCTGCAATCCTCTCCAGCAAGACAAATCTGATTTGTGTACGCAAATCCAGCATCAGAAACTTCGTTTTGATATGGGGAGGGGGAATTTTTCCTTTTGATACGTGGTCGTCCATGTTCTGCACCAGCTCGTCGATGCACGCAGCATCGTCCCACGGTCCCTCCTATCCTGTGCAAAAGTATCGTACTCGTATTGCAGTCATGCATTAGAAATTTTCATCTTAAGGTAAATTCGCATTACAAATTTTATTTCTCATCCTGAGGAAATTTGTAATGCATTTATACGAGTACGATACTTTTGCATTGGCATTGCATACCTCCTGCTTCGGCAGCCGCGCTTGGTTGGTGGACACGCCGTCCGCGCATCGCGAACACCGTCGCAGCTCGTTCTGGGCCTGGCGAAGGTCATCGGCGCGCGTGGTCTGGTCGGGGTTGTACTTGGGATGCGCCTCCAGGAAGTGCCGCAGCGGATTCATACTTATGACCTGGTCGCCCCCGCGGCCGGGCTTTACACTACTCGGCGCGCCGGGCTACAAGCGCGTCGCAGTAGAACACGCGAGTTCTGTGGCGATGCCCCAGGGGGTTCGGCGTCGCGGGTAGTAGTTCTTCGGCAGGTTGATACGAAAGGGTTCTGCGGTGCGTAAAAATCCTCGACAAAGTAGTGCTGGTGTTAAAGCGACCGCGGGACAGCGAGAAAAATGCCCGGATTCTTCTGCGCCACGTGCTCGGCGGCGGCCGACGATTTCCGTAGTTCGGGCGCGAAATTGATATGCTGCCATGTGTAGTTTTCTTCCGTGGGTACAGGAGCACGACGCGTAGTCCCTCGTAGTATCATATGCGGTAGCGTTGGAACAATTTTTACAGAGACGCTCACTCCATCTTCGAGAAGCACAATTTAAGACTACGGCGTGCCCTGTTGCTGCTCAAGTTTGTGTTTGAGAATGTGGTTGGGTAGTAGAACGGATCTAGCGGTGCGTCAGGATCTGTTTTCACTCACTTGACTTCTCATCGCGCTGAGCCACGGAACTTCGTTCAAAATTTCAATGACCAGACACGCCAAATTTTGAAGGTTGAAAAGCTTCTCAATGAGGACCACGACGCGCACCTTAGTTAGTATTGGACGCAGTAGGATATTGGTGATAGGTTTATTCTCCCGATGCACAGCGGTTGTAGCACGGGCGACTAATTTTTACCGTCGCAAAGCAGCGGGCGAGAGGGTGCGGTCGCGGCTGCCCCGATTCCCGGGCGCCCGGGCGCCGCTGTGACTGCACTCCCGGGGTGCGGTTTCCGCGTTTTCTTTTGACAGTGCCCGAAGCACGGCCCGGGCGCCTCGCCCCGAAATACCGATCGCCGCAGCACCGCTGGCGGAGCGAGCAACATCCTTCGGCCCGGGGTCCCTAAGCCCGGACCCAGCCCGGCGGCTGGAATCGTAGCGCGAACGCGCGCCGCCCGAGGAAGGCGCCGCGGCGCCGTCAGGGCCCCCTTCCGAACTGGACCGGGGGGAAGGGCGTCCGGGGCCATGGATGAAGACGATGGTCGCAGTCATATGGCCGCGCTCCGCTTGCTTCGCGGCTTGTGCGCGGACGGAAAGGAGGGGGGGGGGGGGGAAACCGACCCCGTCGGGTCTGCTTTGACAGGTCGCTACCCGAGCGCGCGCGGTCATGGAGCGAAATGTAGGAGGGGGTCTTTGCACTGCCACCGGCCTTCATCGAGGAGGCAGGTCGTTGCATCATACTCAGTGAGGGCCCCCGACGGTCGCGAGTTGAGGGCTTTGCGATTTTGGCAAGTCAATCAGCAAGATTTCACATTTTTTCAGTGAACTTGTGCAACATTACAACGCTCTTGCCTTTTTTATGCAATATTGCTTAACTTTTGTCTTTGACTCTGAACAATTTTCGGAGTTTAGCTGGTAAATTTGCAAAATGTTGCAACCCTGGCGAGTTAGCGCGTAAGACTTTGCAACTTTGGCCACGTTTGGTGCAAAATTGCACAACTTTGGTTGATAAGTGCGCAAAATTTCAGGATTTTCGCCACTTAATATGTATTATTTTACAAGTTTGGCCAGTTGATGTGGAATATTTTTCAATTTTCGGCGGCCAATGTGCCAGATTTTCCCACTTGAGCCAATGAATTTGCTATATTTTGCAATTTTCTCCAATATTTTGCACGTTTTGCCGGTAAAATGCCCATAATTTTTGATTCTGGCTTGTCAATTACCAAGATTTTTCGATTTTGATCAGTCAAGCCGCCACATTTTCCAAGTTTTGGTGGTCAATAAGCAAGATTTTGCAATTTTTACCGGTTAACACATAGGATTTTCCAAATTTTTGTAGTGAATAGGCAATGCTTTGCGATGTTTTTGCGGTTTTGGCCGTTTAAGATGCCAAATTGTGCAACTTTTGCCATTGAACGTGGCAGATCTTGCAACTGCAATTTTTCAACATCCAACATTTTGTGAGTTTGACTGCTCAAGATGCCAGATTTTGCAACTTTGGCCGTTGAACGTGCCAGATTTTGCGAAGTTGACCGGTCAACGCCTCGGATTTTGCTACTTTGACCCGGTAATGTGCCAGATTTTCCGACTTTGACTGGGCAAGAGACCGTATTCTGCTACTTTGAACAGCCGCCGTGCCATATTTTACTACTTTGTCTGGGCGCTGTGCGAGATTGTGTGCCTGTGGTGAGTCAACGTGCGGCATTTTGCGCTGGCCACCCAGTCCTGCCCCCGCCGGTCCGCCCCCCGCCCTGCCACCCGGTCCGGCCCCCGCCCGGCCACCCGGTCCGGCCCCCGCCCTGCCACCCGGTCCGGCCCCCGCCCGGTCGAGAGCTTGGCGCTGCGCGCATGCGCGAAGTACTGCAGCGTCCGCCGTGAAACAGGCGTGGCCATGCCACTTCTCACCTTGCGTGCACGCCGGCACGTCTCCGACCGCCGCGTGTAAAATACGGCGTAAGTGTCGGTAGAATATGAAGGTGCACCAGAACTGCGCGCCGCACGGGGCCGCCGCGAGTCCCTTCGCGCCAACAAAGATCTCCTGGCAAGAGTACTCTCCGGTCCCGCGATTCTCAGTTTAGTTTTCGAGCCGCATCATCATCATCATCTTCTTCTTCTTCTTTATTTTCAGCTCGAGCTACATCATCTTCATCATCTTCATCTTCCTCTTCAGCAGCGATGTCGTTTCAATCAACAACAGCAAGTGATAGAATACCGATCCAGGCACTAATGAGACTACAAGGTCGCAAAAGGACATTCTAAGGCGACAGCGCCGAACAGAATAAATTCATCAGTTTTCGAGCCGAGCGTTATGTGCAATCCTCCTGCTGTACTGCTACACGCGGCCGTATTTCGGTACGGATCATTATAGCCCATGAACGGAGCACCGGCTCCGTAACGTTGCAGGAACGGCCGATAAAAAATTTTGAGAGCTCATGTGGAGAGACAAACTGAATTTTAGCCTCGCATTTTTGTCACGCAACGTCGGTCAGCACGTAGATCACCTGATATATAACTCGCTAAATATGGATCCACCCACTCGCAATAACGCAGGTGATACAAGGGCACCCCGGTAGCTCAACAATTTTCCAAACTAAACCTCCACTGCAAGATTACACACCTGAGTCGGAATTTTTTATCAAATTCCTGATTTATTTGCTCGAACAAATAAGTACCTAAAAAGGAAAAACTACGCCAAGAAGCTCGCTTTCTCATCAGTTGGTCTGAAAGCTCGTCAGCGCAATAACGGTTCTTCTAACTATCTCGAACACGACGTGAAGATCCATCGAAAAAACAACATAAAAAAAGAAAAAAATCCAACAGATAGAAAATCGCTGTTGTTTCTAAAAGAAGCAAAGCGCCCCAGTTATCAGGATGCCGTTGGAGATCCGCACGCAGCATTTCATCAATAACGAGTGGTGCGACGCCAGCGATGGCGGCACCTTCGACACCATCGACCCCTCCACCGAGAAGGTGATCGCCTCGGTGGCGAAGGGCACGGCGGCCGATGTCGACAAGGCGGTGGCGGCCGCGAAGCAGGCCTTCTTTACCTGGCGCGACTGCGGGGGACCGGCCCGGCGCGACATGATGTTGAAGCTCGCCGACCTGCTCGAGCAGAACAAGCAGCAGATGGCCGAAGTTGAGTCGCTGGACAACGGCAAGCCAGTTTCGACCGCCCGGAATGTGGACATTCAACTGGCCATCCAGCACTTCCGGTACTACGCGGGGTTCGCGGACAAGGGCATGTGCGGGAAGACCATTCCGACGGAGGACCCGCACACCTTCGCGATGACGGTCCACGAGTATGAGAGTGCACAACTCCGCCTCCTCCTCATTTGTAATGCAAAACACCAAGAATGCCAGGCTATAGCTATACCTCGTCTTGGCATTGTTTGCATGACAAGTTCTGGTAGCCCAAATAGCATTGCAATCCTGTGCAAATTTGTCATGCAAAACCTGCATTCTTGCTGACGCTTGTATTGCCGCTCCTGCTATACAAATGAGAGGGAAGGGGGGATTGTGCACTCTCATAACGAGCCGGTGGGCGTGGTGGGTTGCGTGATCCCGTGGAACTATCAAATGTAAAAATGTCTGGGTCTGGAAGAATGCAACTTGTCATGCGCATTTCAGAACACACAAAAATCTCTCATGCATGGGTAGCAAAAGCTGCCCACTTTCTGTCACCAAAGTGGGGGATTTGTCATGCAGGTTCGGCATTGCGGAAGCTTCTCGAAACCTGTGATGCTAGAGCTTCCATGCCAGACCTGCTGTGTCATGCAGAAACAGCATGACTCTTCCAGACCCAGACATTTTTACATTTGATAGGAACTTTCCCATCCTGATGCTGGCGTGGAAGTGGGGTCCGCTGCTCGCGGCGGGCTGCTATCAAATGCAAAACTGTCTGGGTCTGGAAGACTGCGAGATTTGTCATGCTTGTCTGGGATGACCAAAAAGTTTGTGATGCGTGTCCAAGAAGAGACCCTTAGGCCTGTCATGCAAAAACGCACCACAAAGAAGCGACGATATTTCTCATGCTTGGTTGTGCATTGCAGGGCATTCCCTATTCCCAACGCAGCGTCACAAGTTTCGACATTTTTGCATTTGATAGCTGCACCTGCGTGATGAAGTCCTCGGAGAAGATATCCTGAGCAAAAACTACGCCCTCGCCGCAGAGTCAAGATGGGAAATCTGCAACACAAATGCAGAAGTTTTATTGGGAGTCACGCATGACAAGTTTTTATCTCAGCGTAATTGTGGTGCAGGTTAGCAAGGACGAGGACCGCATCACAAATCCATCTTCTCATCCTGTTTACAGCATCACAAATTCTGAAGCACGACTAAAAGTGCCTCTCATGGGGATGCGCGCGACAATTCTCGATCTCCCTGTAGATGCAATTCTGCATGACACACAACCATGGAGCGGTGGGGACGTTTTTACATGGGATAGAAGACCCCGTTGACCGCCTTGATGATGTGCGACCTGGCGAAGCAGGCGGGCTTCCCGCCGGGAGTGTTGAACGTGATTTCCGGGTATGGACCGGGGTGCGGCGACGCCATCGTGAAGCACCCGGACATTGCCAAGATCTGCTTCACCGGGTCCTCGCTGGTGGGCCACAAGATCGTGGAGATGTCGGGCCAGGGCAACTTGAAGAAGGTGACGCTCGAGCTTATCCTGAGTAAAAACGTCCCCACACCAGAGTCAAGTTGGGGACTTAGCAACACAAATCCAGAAGTTTTGGGAGCCACGCATGACAAGTTGCAGTCCGTAGTGTAGTGCATGTTAGCAAGGAAAACCGCGTCACAAATCCATCTTCTTATCCTGTTTGCAGCATTACAAATTTCAAAACGCGACTGGTAATGCCTCTCATGGAGATGCGCATTACAAGTATTCCTGTCATCGCAAATCTGCATTCCAACATGACAACTCTGGGGTGGGGACATTTTTACTAAGGATAGAGCTGGGCGGAAAGTCTTCCTTGATCATCACGGAGGATACCCTAGAGAAAAAAGCAGGCACCGGGCCATATTATTTGTAATGCAAAAATAGATACACAGAAAGATTTGTCATGACAGGCGGCCCCATAACATATAGCTGTTTAGGATATGCAATACTAATTTTTTTGTGTATTTGTTTTGGCATTACAAATGTGGCCTGCCTGCTTTTTTCTGTGTGGTAGAGGATGCGGACCTGGACCAGGCGGCCGCGGTGGCGCACGTCGGGTTGTTCCTGAACCAGGGCCAGTGCTGCTGCGCCAGCTCCCGCATTCTCGTGCACGAGTCGATTTACGACGCGTTCGCGGCGAAGTGCGTGGCGCGCGCGGAGCAGGTCACCATGGGTACCAAGGAGGGGTGCGAGCAGGGTCCCCAGGTGGACAAGATTCAGTTTGACAGGATTTTGAACTACATTGCGGGGGGAAAGGAGCAGGGCGCCAAGTGTCTCACCGGCGGGGAGCGACGTGGCGACTGTGGCTACTTCATCAAGCCCATATCAAATGCAAATATGTCTGGGTCGTCTGGAAAGAACTTGTGATGCAAATCTGTGAGTGGTGGGAAGACACTACAAGAATATGCAGCCCAGCATGGCAAGTTTTTGCGGTGCTGTGTGTTTCGTTTTTCGCATGACAAACTGCGTTTTCGCATGACAGGAAAGAGGTCCTTTCCCTGCTCATCGACGTCACAGATTTAAGACTCATGCCAGACAAGCTGCATGACAAACTTGCACTCTTCCAGACATATTTGCATTTGATAGCCCACGGTGTTTGGCGATGTCACGGACGACATGACCATCGCGAAGGAAGAAATTTTTGGCCCGGTCATGCAGCTGCAGAAGTATTCCAGCATCGAGGTACTAAGCTTTTGATGAGAAGTACTTACGCTCTTCTTCACGCTCCTATCAGTGCAACACCAGTAAAAGCGCACGAGTTGTTAGGCACACGACTTCTTAAACGTTAAGTAGTTACACGCGGCTTTTTAATAAGCGCTGCACGAGTTCAGCGCACGACTTAAGTACTTAACCATCGGACGAGTCAACAAGCGCACAACTGAACCGCTGTACGGGTTTTTAGGCGCACGACTTAAGAGCGCTGCTGAGCGACTCAATCGCACGACTCTATCGCCGCACGAGTTAGGAGGTTTCGAACCAAGCGAATGGCTCCACCGCTGCACGACTTAACCGCCGCACGGCTTAAGTTGGCAGGAGCGCTGCACGACTTAAGCGCACGGCTTAAGCGCACGACTTAAGCGCACGACTTAAGCGCACGACCTAAGCGCACGGCTTAAGCGCACGACTCAAGCGCTGCACGAGTTAAGCGTACGGCCTGAGAGTCTGGATTCAAGTTTCGTGCAAGAACCTTGAAAAACACATTCATGGTATTGCTCTGCATGATGTTAAAATAATCTTCGCAGGATATCCAGTGTAAAAACGTCCCCACAATCCCAGAGTTGTCATGCAGGTTCGCAATTACAGGAGCATATGTGAAGATGCGCATCCCCTCCATGGCAGTTGTTTTGGTGTTTGCAATCCAATGCTCTAAGCAGGCTAGGGAGACGGCTTTGTGAAGATTTACGGCTGTCCTTGCTAACCTGCACAGCAACACAGGGAGAATCTTGGCAGGCCCGCTTCCCAAAACTTCTCGATTTGTGTTGCAGAGTTTATTCCAAGTATGGGGTGGGGACAATTTTGCGGAGGATAAAGTACGCCGTGACCCGCGCCAATCGCACGCACTACGGACTGGCTGCGGGCGTGTGCTGCACGGACATTGGGAAGGCGATGGGCATTGCGCGCCGGTTGGAGGCCGGAATATGCAGTGCAAAAGTGTAGTCGTACGTAGTATATTACGAATTAAGTAGCTCAGTATTTTACAAATTAAGTAGCTCAGCATGACGAATGCAATTTGTAAGGCTGTTTCACCTTGAGAAGAAGATTTGTGTTTGTCATGCGTGTCTGCATATTGAGTACGGGTGCGACTAAAGAAGTATTTTTGCAATTCATACGGAACCGTGTGGATCAACTGCTACGACAACTTTGATATCAAGTGCAAAATTGTCATTGTCTGGGTCTGGAAGGTGGTAACTTGTGATGCTGTCTTTGGATTCCAAAAAAATCGGTATTGCGTGACTAGCAGAAGGAGTCCAGTTTGTGCTACACGGGGAGGGCATTTCTCATGCGGAAAAAGCATCAGGAAGACTTCTAAAAATCTGGGATGCTAGGGCATGCATTACAGGCGTCATTGGTCATGCAAAATATGCATAACAAACCTGGCAATCTTCCAGACCCAGGCATATTTGCAATGCATATTTGACGCCGCGGTGCCCTTTGGCGGCTACAAGGAGTCCGGGTTATCGTACAGAAAAAAAGCAGGCGGGGCATGCTTGTGATGCAAAAAGTAACTGACAGAAAATAAAAATCTGTCATGGGCGAGCCGTCAGCATGCTGTGTTTTTTTAGGATGCACAAGAACTAAGTAAAGTACATTCTATACTTGCATTTTACAAATACGCTCTTTCATCTGCTTCTTTCTGTGGGATATGCGTGGGGTCGCGAAAAGTCCGAATACGCGCTGGAAAACTTTACCGAGGTCAAGTGCATCATGTTCCCCATGGCCAACGTGCAGGCGTAAGTCTGCATGGGTCGCCGGATAAGTACTATTATGACTTTGTTCCGTAAGATGAACTACAGTAAAACAAGAAATTATGGCGTCCCGCAGTGTATCGACTGCGTTATTTCTAAGCCCTTGTGTCTCGACTTGAAAATAAATTGCTAGTGGTATCACTAGACAAAAGTCGGAGCAGGAGGTTTTGCAGAGGCGGTATCTGATTTACAGTATACATAGAAAGCCGATATGCTATGAACTTTTTTCGTGTACAATAGTGATAATCAAATTTGTAAAAATCCGTCATTTTCTTTTTTTACTGCTACAGTAATTACAGCATGACGTTAGTATTAACCGCAAAGTGTATTATAAAAGCTCTAAATGTAGTGAAGTGCACTACTGGATTTTCATGTTTCATCACGACAAGCTATAAAATCATCCTGCATAATAACATGTCAACAAAAAATTTTTCGTCTAGTAAGGATAACAACTCCCACCAGGAATTATGCAATATCACTAAAACAGCTGATCGTAAAAAAACATCGACGTGTACAGTCAAAAAGCTGTCACAGTCTGCATCGCCCGGGATCTTTCCCGGCGGCAGAGGTGTACAAAGTGACGAGCTTTTATTTCGAAAAAACATACTCATCTCATCGAACATGAAAAATCTGATCGCATGAACCGTTTCCCTTTCGCGCAGGTTATTAAAGTAGAATATAACATCTCTGTTTTGTCGATAGAGTAACTTTCCTCCGGATTTTAGCATAGCTGCAAGAACGATGTTCAAAAATCTTCATTCGCAGCAGTACTACGGCCTTTTAGATGTACGACTTTCACGAAATTCCACTTAAATAAGTATCTGGTGCTCGACCGCTTCGCATGAAAATTTTCTGAGGCGCTATGAGAGTGCACAACTCTCCCTCCCCTCGCGTGTAAGGCATGAGCAGCAATACAAGCATCACCAACAGTGCAGGTCTTGCATGACAATTTTGCACAGGATTGTACGCACTGTTTCGGCTGCTAGAACTTGTCATGCAAAAAGTGCCACGAGGCAACGCAATGTGTGGAGATGGTATACTTTTGCATGGCGAACGAGAGGGACGTGGGGGGGGGGTTGTGCACTCTCATACGCACAGTCGTGTAATCATAAGAAGCCTAGAAAAAGAAGGAAGAGTCTCAACACCAGCCTGTTTTTGGTTTCACCGTCTCACAAAGCAACAAAATTCTTCGAAGATGAGGTGCAGAAATTCGGAATTGAGTACAAAGGATAAACAATTCCATCTACGGGGGCAACAAACACGGCATAGTTCTTGCAGAGAAGAAAGTGTTCTACTTGCGTCCCCTAGAGCAACCTCCGTCAACAGCAGGCGATATAAGTAGTTGCCCTGATCACTTGTTCTCAGTTTGTAAGTGAGTGGTGTAGCACTTCTGATGAGTTCTCTAGTTGTATTTGGCGCACCTAAACTACTACAAGTACGCACTTGGCTGGGGAATCAGCGCTCGAAATAAAGAAGGTTTTTCGCTCTACCGCGCCAAAATGCACTGCTGTCTAGCAATTTGCTTGAAAAAGAACCGCATTGATTTTTCCTTTTGTACTTGCCCGTCTTACCGACTATGCGTGAACCCACCATGTGGAGTCGGCACAGGCCCGTCTTACCGACTATGCGTGATGTTGGTCAAGAAGGCATGATCAAAGTGCTCTAGTTGCTCTTCGTCCTGGTTTATTACTTTCATTCTGGGTTTGTCTATTCCTATTGCTATTCGGTATGGTTGGGCCAAAGATGTAGGAGATCAGCGGAAACAAATCTTTGATGTGAGTGGCTCGAAATATGGAAAGAAGTTCACAAAAAAATCATAGAGGAGATCATACGAAAGAGCCCTTTTCGAAATGAATGCGACCTTGACGGAAGGCACTAAGCAGAATCTCTCTCCTCGGTAAAAATAAATGTTGAAACAAGAGAGATAAATCGACTCAGGAAAATGTTGCAATATCGGTGAAACGATGAATTTGATGGAAACAACGAAACAGAAAAAGCACTTTTCGGGGATCAATTTCTTTTAGTGGAGTTGTAATCTCTTGTCAGTCGGCCCATCTAGTAGCACTTGAAGAAGATGGCTGCAGTGCATTCTCTTTTCACAACGCACAGCAACAGTTCCCTCTTTGACGTCCCGCCACCAACTTAGCTCTTAAGCTTGAAAACAGTATACAAACTACAGCAAGCACTTTCTACCAAACAAACTACAGCAAGCACTTTCTACCACATCTACTTCTGGCAACATCATTACGTACGACACCTGCGCGGTCTTGTGACAATTGGAGCTGTGCTTCTTGCCGTCGCTTTTTAGCGCAACTCTGTTTGAATTGTAATTCGGCTTTATTTCCCCACTTGACCCGCCCAGGGCCAACATCTACACGTAGAATCTTCGTACCGAGTGGAGCTGGGTCAGATCTTATCTAGGACGATTCGTTCCTATTGATATCCATAGCATTATCATCATATCGATCATCTCGCGCATCATTGTACCAAAGAAAATGCCGGCGCGTTTTCTTGCGATGTCTCTCGTTTGTCACTTGTCGACGGTGGCAGTGGTCAGCGCATTGCGGTCCAGGACCGCCGAACACCGTGAAGCCGTTACGAATGTGGGCGCGGAAGGACTTCTTGCGTATTACGAGGATGCGTATAACAAGCATGGTTTCTTACGTGGGGCAACGATGAAGTATCAGGTCAAACGACTTGGAGAGGCATTCAATATAGATGCCACTTTAGCTCCGCAGCTGCGAGAAGAAGAGGTACAGAACCTGCTTTTTTCATCCTTGCGTGAGTCACTCAAGGATGACTTGACCGACCCCCATCCGTGGTATTACTTTTTGGACAATTCCGAGAACGAGGACCGCACTATCGTGCATATCTTTAAGCACCGGACGACGAGCGGATCGTTCGATTTTCCAGCGGCTTACTGGACCATTTCGTTGATCCGTTCGCCACCCATTTCGCTGACCCGTCCCGGCCCCGACCAGGTCCGTCCTTTTGGCATTACGTTGGAATACAAGTCCGCCACGCCGCCTTCTCTCCCTTTGCGGTACAAAGTTGTTGATCCGCCAACCTTGCGTTTCGGGCACAAAGCTTTTCTCGCCGCCCTCGTGATCAACGGCCACCGCGACCAGGCACATTTGCGGTTCACGGCTCACGGCACAGCCATGAAGTGGCGGAGATTCAAACCTTATGACCAGGTGGCTCATCTTAGCCTCCAAAAGGTTGCAGGTCGTCAGTCCCCATGGCGGAATCACGCACAGCTTGACACTTTTGTCCGTGACTTCCGTGACCTTTGGAACATGCATATTAGCAGCGAGCAGTTGGTGAACCGGTGGGCTTCTATGATCAATTCCTACGCAGCAAAGCCGCTGGTTCCACCTGTATGCATATGCAAACATGATGTCTGGGTCGGGAAAAGAATAAGTGCAACACTTACTATTATCGGCTAGCATGAAGAAGACCTTCAAGGCTGTCACGCACGTTGCCCAAAATGATGGCATGGGGCGCGCCGTTTTATTCGTTCTGCACGTAGATGTTGAACAGGCAATTAGACCTACCAGCCCAAAATCTTGTCATGCATGGCCGCCGATGTTTCTGATTCCTGGCCAACCCACGACAGCTTCACAAGCTTTCAGACCCACACAGACAGGATGTTTGCAGTGGATATTCTCCAACTCGTCGCGCACTTCCGGTAAATCCAATTTCCGACGTGGTCCCCTTGGTTCCGGTCCCCTTTGCTGCTCTTGCGGGGGGGGGGGAATGGGTCCCCGGCGGCTACTTCCGGTCCCCTTGAGGCTGCTCGGGTGCCCTTGCTCCAGGATGTCCAGGAACCAGCGGGAGATCCTACCAGTAGTAGTTCCGGCACTACCAGCAGGAGATCTACCCTAGCGGGAATCGAGCTGGCTTGTGTTGGAGCATAAGTACTTATAAAAGCTCCTATATGATTTAGACGATCCGATGCTGACCGACGCAGCAAGGCTCTTAAAAAAAAAAACAAAAAAAGTAAGACTTTGCTTTGATTTCTGAACAGCATGTCTTGAAGATGAAAAGACTTCTCCTAGCAATTCATCACACCTTTTGTCTTCCAGACAGGGTCTGTTTTTCTATAAAATTAGCGCTCCCAGCATCAGGTACAGTTAGTTTTTCTAAGGCGGGCCCCACAGCAGCTCCGCCAGGTTGTGCTTTTTATTGAAGTAGCGCTAGACACTGACACATGAGAAGAAAGAACACCTTTCAACTGGTTCCATGTGACCAATCTCAACTGACAAACAAACAAATATCCTCCTACGCCAGCCAGCGAGGATGCGCGAAGATCAAGAGAAGCTGCAGGCACGGAAGAAAAGAAGAAGGGCGAGAACTCGACCTCCGTGCATCTACTTTAGCCGGAACCCCAACAACTACAAGCGCTATATTAGTCCTCGCAAAAGATAAAGCTCCCGAAAACCCCCAGCACTGAGACTGCTTTTGTTTTGTCTACAGGTCGACAGGGGTCGAAGTCGAATAGTTTGAACATACTTGCTCCATGCATTTTTACAAGCTGACGCAGATTTTGTGTATGTTCGAACCTTCCGCGTGTTTAGTTTAGCATCGGTCCGTGCGTAGCATTGCAAGCTAGCAAGCATCTGTGCATCTGAACGCCACAAAGATTAGAAATAGAACCAACAAGAATCATCGCCTCCAGTGTTTTATTTTCTTCGTAGTGCTGGACATCCTGAAGCTGCACCTTAACAGCAGGTGATGTTGCCATCGCTTGTTCTGTTTGTAAGGAGTGTAGCACTTCTGATGAGTTTTCTGCTTGGCGCAACTAAACTACTACAACTACGCACTACTGAAAAAATAAACCCGTAGCTGCTCTAGGAAACTAAGCTTGGCTACGGCACGAAGATAATACAACACTGCTACAGATTCGTGAAAAACCGCACTGATTTTTCCCCTTGTAGTTGTCAAAATCCACCTTGCTCGATAGAGTGATAAACAAAGCTTCTGACTGTGATCATGGTCAGAACAGACTCGCCTCACCGAGTATGCGTCAAGATATTGGGAAGATCAAGCTGTTCTTGTTGCTCATCCTGGTGTGTTGTTCTTCTCGCGCTGTAGTTTATTCGGAGGTATGGAAAGAGAAATCTGTAGTTCTGCGAGAGCTCGTTCTACGACCGGTCTGCGAGAGCTTGTTCTAATGTCATACGCGCTATCAAAGGCATTACCCAGGAGGTGCTAGGGTTCAGCTCCTACGCTTTTCCCCTGCTCCCCTCGCATGATGACAGACGAGGGCCCCCTTTCTGTCGCTGGTGGCAAAAGCAGTACTAGTCGTGGTTCAAGAGAACAGCTGCCTCAAGAACCCGCGCGCGCGTCCGAAGATGTTGGTTTTCTTCCCGCCCGGGCGGAGGATTCGGACAGCCGCTACGATGACGACGGCGGCGATTCCGTCATTCCGGACGAGGGCGAATCTTCCCCCGTCCGTTTCGTGCAGGAGGGCAAATCGGAGCCGGGGCTGCTGTCCGCCCGGAGCGCCACGACCACCGTGCCCCCGAGCGTCCGGGGCACGCCGCGCCCGCCGGAGTGGGTGGCGGGGGCAACGACAGGAGCACAACTCCCAGGTAGTAGTACCACCTTGCGGGCCGGCACGACCTCGGGCACCACTTCTAGTGGCCTGCAACTATCTTCGTCATCAGCGCTTCTTGGAGGCTATGGACCGAGCAGCAGTTCCGTCTTAGCACAACAGCGCGGACGAGGGGGTGGGCAACAGCTTCCGCGTGCAGGCGTGCCCACGGTTATTTCTTCCCGAACGGACTCGAAGTCCACCGCTGGGGAAGAGGACTCGGCCACGTCTACGGACGCCGGCGCACCCGCAAAGCTTTTGTTCAACGCCCTAGAAACGGTGTTGACCTCCCCGACGGCGATCCTGCAACGCGCGAACGCCGACCACCCGGAGGCGTATGAGGAATTCAACAGTGAAGACGAGGTAATCGCTATCCAAGAAAAAAAGATTGTAAATAGGTGTAACTTTCTTGGAGGATTAGCATGACAAATATGTCTCGCGTGACAGCAAAAACCTGTCATGCGCAGATAGTACGTGAAACGCCCTTGAATGGACCCTACTATGCAGGCTCAGCATGACCGGCGCAATCAATTTGCATGCTGCGCATCACAAATTTACACTAGCAACGTTTTTTTCTTGGATAATCGCCCGCCCGAAGCGGCGGTCCAGCAGCGGGTCCGGTCGGGAGTCGCTGCCACCACTGCTGGCGGCACCGGAGAAGAACGCGCGGCCTGCGCAGCCTGTGGTGGGTATCCCATAGAAAAAAGCAGGCAGGGCAGATTTGTAATGCATACATAAATACGCAGAAAAATCTGTCATGGGCGGCCACATAGCATGCTGTTCCGGGTATGCAATACAGATTTTTTGGCGTGTTTATTTTTGCATTACAAATGTGACCTGCCTGCTTTTTTCTGTGTGATAGTGGGCGGAGAAGGAGATGATCATGATGATCAGGCGACGGTACTGATGAATGCGGAAGAGGAACAAGATGATCTTCACGATCGGGCGGAGGCAGGGTCCCCTACAACTTTAGTGCACAATGTCGAAGGAGCTAGGGTGCCCGCGGAGGTGGACGATGCTAAGATTATAATTCTTGGCACAACAAGCCCAGCAGGGACTTTGACATCTACGAGCGACAAGAGGCATCAAAATGCCACGTCGAGTAAAAAAAGCCCGGAGCTAGATTTATTACCGCCGGACTCGGAAATCCCCTCGAAGCCGGCGTCCAGTCCCGAGGAGGGTGCACCGCCGTCCCAAGTAGAGCAGTATGCAAGAAAAAAAACTGTGTGAGTGCGAGTCGGTGGTGCAGAAAATGCAAAATTTTGACACTTGTCATGCTGGATGTGCGTCATAGCCCACTTTCATAAGTACGCGCTTCGAGGATATACTAGCTGCGCATGACAGGTTTATTTCCCTGTAATGCAAAGCGAATTTGTGATGCTGCCCTTCCTACAAAGGTACACTTCCACTGTTACTTTTCTGGATAAGCAAGCGAAGAGCAGTACAACTAGTAGCGACGACGGGGGGATCGTTGAAGATGTCGATTTGCTGTCTTTTGGTCGCGCAACCTCGATTCCGCGAATGGAGGAACTGGAGATCAAGCCGGGCGAAGAGTCCGCTACCAGTTCGGACCTCCCGCCAGGAGGACCAGTTGTGACTACCGTAGGAGGTGTATGCACTGCAAAAGCATCGCACTAGTACAAATTGCATTACAAATAATAATAAATTTCTCAAGAAGAAAATTGCAATTTGTCATGCAGATTCAAGTACGGAACCAGATTTGTCTTGCATGCTTGCAATTTGTACGATTGTGATCCGTTTGCCGTGCATAGGGTGTTGATCAGGACGATTTAGGTGGCGAGCAGTACACGGCGCAAGAAAAGCCGTCCTCGTCGTCCGAGGATGTTATTGCTCCTGGTGACAATACAAGAACCGCCGTTCCTAAAACAGCAGCAGCTCCTGCTGCGCTCATGATCCAAATCCCATCTTCATATACAGCGGGAACTACTCGGATGGAGGAACTGGAGATCAAGCCCGGGTATCCACTGCAAATATGTCTGGTTCTGGGAGATTGTAAGCCTTGTAAGTAATGCTCTGCTGACATTAGACAAGATCAAGGATCTGTCGTGCATGTCGCGCTACCGCGCTGCTTTTCTTGTAATGCAGAAACGCAGTTTCTCATGCAGTTTTACACAAGAACACCTAGTCGCTCAGAAACTTGTCATGCGTGTCTTTCATATTTGTGAAGATCCGCAAATTTTTATTAGCATCACATTTTAATTCCAGACCCAGACGTCGCTGCATTTCATACCGGGGAAGAGTCCGCCACCAGTTCGGATCTCCCGGCAGGGCCAGTTGTAACGGTAGCGGATCTTCAGCTTAACGGCGCGGATGGCAAGCCGTTGTACACGGCGCAAGAAAAGCCGTCCTCGTCGTCCGAAGATGTTGCTGCTGGTGAGGAGGATACAACCGGTGTTGCACCTAAAACCGCAGCTCCTGCTGCGCTCATGATCCAAATCCCATCTTCAGGTGCAACTGATATAATTCACGACGACACAAGCGACGGAGATCATGCCGACCCTGGTAGTTGTACTGGCCCTCGCAGCCCGCAGTTTGTGCGCGCCATGCGGCACGCCAGCTGGACACCCACACAGGAGGAAGAAGCCACTTTTTTAGCCGAAGAGGAGGAACAGGACGCGCGCGCAGCTGCACTTCTCGCGAGCAGTGACAAAAATTATACTATCGATAAAAGCAGCGCACTAGATCAACATCATGATGGTACTATGATAACTTCTGCAGCCCCACACTCCGGTCCTGCTATCCAAGAAAAAAACTGTGTCAGTGTAACTTTCCTTGGCTGATAGCATCACAAATATGCTCTACATGACAGCGAAAACCTGTCATGCGTGGCTTGTAAGGGAAAACACACATCAAAAGAGGACTTCGTGGCTGTCTGGCATGACAGGTGTGCCTCTATTTCATGCTCTGCATTACAAAGTTACACTTACGCAGTTTTTTTCTTGCATACCTGAAGCTCTACAACTCCCAGGGAGTCCGAAATACACGCAAGTGGTCCCGCTCGCCTCCAGTTCTTGTGCGAGTCGGAGCGATTCGAAACGAACCGACGACGATGCTTTGCTGTATCCGAGTCCGACCGGCACGCCGCACGCACGGCACGTGGTGCCCCCGTCGGACGCTTTACCCTTATTTCCACACGTCGCCACAAGCCTCCTGGACAAGAGCTTCGTGTCTCTCAGTCGCGGAGGGGAGGACGAGGTGGAAGATGGTACAAGAAAGCCCGAGCCCGACGATGTAGTAGAACGGCCCTTCCAGCGTCTCCTGCCACCGTCAGTACAACAACAGGCGCCGAACGAAAACTACAGTTCTTCGGATGCCCAGCAGAGGACGCTGCAGAGTACTTCTGGGCGCGACAGTGCGGCTGCAGCAGGTCCTCCGCTTGCGCAAGATGATGAAATAATCGCTGGTAGTGGTAATATAACGACGGCGCTACAAGAGCAGGAGAACTTGCAAGAAGAAGTGTTGGACGTGGAGCGGGGCCGGACGAAAGGCGGAGCTGAGCCGGAGGAGTCCGTGTCGGTCGGAGAAGTTATGGCGCTTTCGGAAACGGACCGGCTGGTAAACCTGGCACTCACCTCGTGTGAACTGGAAGGTCAGAAGGAGGATGGAAATTTTTTTATGGAAGATGTTGGCGCGAAGAATGACACCACCCCGGCTTCTGGGCAGGAGAAGGAGATCCATGATGGAGAGGACGCGGCAGCGCGTGGTCCTTCTGACACACCTGCTGCGGATATGATAATTACCGAAGACTACACGACCATCTCCGACGTTGGCGCGCCAGAGGGGCTTCGGCAGAGACGAGGATCTGCAGCTGCGGATCTACTTCCAGCCGCCGAGTCGGCAAACGGTGCTTCGACCGCGACCGCCGACGCCGATGAGGACAACAAAGACCATCCGGTGGATGTATCCAAGCCCTCTACTATCCTGCGGAAAAACCTCCCCAACCCAGAGTTGTCATGCAAATCTGCAAGCCTCATCCTCAAACGTTTGTCATGCAGAGCCCCATGTTGAAGAGCATTCTGTAATGCTGTCTGGCAGTGCGTCATGCTAGAAGCAGCATAAGGGGATCGATTTGTGATGCAGCTACACTAGCTAAACGCGATGACGCGGCGAGCCCAAACTTGTCTTGCGCGACAGCCAAAAGATGCTCGCTTTGTGTAGCCAAATCCCCATCTTGACTATGGGGTGGGGACGTTTTTTCATAGAATATCTACCACGTTTTTCGGTTCGCTGTGGGCCAGGATGTTCTACTCCAGTGGAGCAAGCGGAGGTACTACTACCACGGCGAGCGCAGGAACATCGGCCCCTGCGAATGAAGACGAGGAAGCAGCGCCACTGCTTGTGGAAGACCGCGCAGCAGGAGTCCCGGGGGAAGATGAAGCGACGGGGGGCGGATTATACCCGGCAGAGTATAAAAATCAGCCGGGTAGTACGGCTGCAGAAGACGACGCTCTGCTCGCCACGGCACTTTCGGTGGAAGGTACGGAATTTCATTCTGTAGAGGGGACATCATCTTCTGCAGACCACTCCGTGCAAGAAGAACCGTTGGCCACAGTAGATGTAGTTGACCAAGATGCCGCAGCGCTCGAAGGGGCGGATAGTAGAGAAACGGCTTCTAGCGCCGCTGCCGCTACAGAAACTGGAGCTGCTGTTGAAGACGCGGCGGAACCGCAATCCTCAGCCACCGGTTTTTTCGGTGGTATCGGAGTACAAATCGGGTCGATGTTTGACTACCTCTCCGTCACTGCGCAGAAAACGCTGGTCGAAATCTCGGCGACGGCGCGCGATACGCGGGAGCGGCAGCGTATGGGAGCGTCAGGTTTGAAATCATCAAAGTTGAAATAATTTGTAATGCATAAAATGCGACGCAGAAAGTGACTCTATTGCAGAGGACCCACGGGAGGCGGATTATAGTCCTTGTAAGGGTCAACAGTTGGACTGCTGACTAGCATGACAGAAGGCAGCTCTTTTGCCCTAAACCGCACGACAGACTCGCTTCCAGGACCGGGAAAATTTGTCATGCACCGACTACAAACTGGAGGTCTAACGGGTATCCGTTTTATGCATGACAAACTATTTCAACTTTGACGATTTCAAACCTGACACATCCATACAGCGGCGCGACAAATACGACCGCCAGCGGGCTGCGGCGGCCCAGGCGAAGGGCGAGTTCCGCCCGCGCGATTTGAACTGCGGACTGTTCCTCTTTCCCGGCTCAAACTTGGAACTGCAGGGCCACATGCGCCCCAAGCGCGTCCGCATTCTGAAGCAGGGCGTTTTGTGGAAGAAAAGACACCAGAAAAGCGAAAACGCTAAGTTCTACCGCATCTTGCAGAACGTATTATGAAGATCGATCGTGGGAAGATTCATCATTTAAGTTGTGATTTTTTTATTGACACGGTCTGACACCGAGCACTGAAGTTTCTATATTTCGTATAATCTCTTTATTTTCGCATGATAGTATCGTTGCTTTTCGTTTTCGTGTAACAGGTTTTCCCCAGGTAGAAGATAGAAGTTCATCAGCATCTCTGCCAAGATATTAAAACTCCAACACAGGTTGCCGGCGGTGGCATGGTGGACATTTATGGGAATGCACAACTTCCCCTCCCCCTCATTTGTCATGCAAAAGCCCAAATTGAAGTGCTTCCCTGTGGCACTGTACGCATGAGAGATTCCGGAAGCCCAAACAGTACTACACTAGGCGCATGAATTTGATGTCATGCACAGGCTTCACGTGTGCTGGTGTTTGTATTGCTGTTCATGCAATACAAATGAGGGGGAGGGGGAGTTGTGCACTCTCATAACATTTTGAAAGGATTTACGGCCCAGCTTTTTGGCAAAGAGATTCTGGGCGAGGACCAAACGGATGGGACGCATTGTCTCGTGATACTCTACGAGGTAGTCGACCAAGTGTCAACCGCGTCTTCTAGAACAGGAGGCGACCGAGCCGGTGCCTCGTCCCCCAAAGGAGGCAGCGCGAGTAGTCCACGGCACAACTACAGCCCGCTTGGAAAGAAAGAGCGGGGTGGGTTGTTCGGGTCGCTCAAGGGAAAGTCTTTATCCAAGGAACTGGTTCGGCAGGAATCGTCTCCGTCCGTGGATCGTCCTTTCGACGATACGAGTTATCCCTCTTTTGTGAAAAAGCGCGGACTCCGGATTCTCAAGGTGGACGAAACCTACTCCCCGTATCCACAGAAAAAAACTCATCCACATCCAATTTGTCATGCAAAACACGTATTAAGTCATGGGTTTGTCATGCAAAAAATGGATGTCGATGGGTGTTTTTCTGTGGATACCCCGGCCCAGGCGGAGGAAGAGGCGGACCGGCTGCATCTATGCGTTGCAAAAGCATAATATCGTACTACGCGACAAGTCGCATGACAACAAGTGTATCTATTGTGGAGCGCGAAAAATATGGAATTTGTATTGCAGCTGAAGATCTACTTCAAGATTAGCCCAGAGATGTCACGCAATATTATTGCGATTAAAGCACAATATAGTAGTACGAAGAACTTTTGCAAAGTTGATAGCATCGGCCGTACTACTATTCCAACAGCTACGAGAAGGAAACGGTGCGCGACATCTTTCCGCTCAGCGGCGCCGCGGTGTTTCAGGAAGACGAATTTGGAGGGAGGACGGGTAGTACGACAGAGACTGGGTCTTTGTTTCCCGTCATGGAAGTCGTCGGACGGAGGAGGAACTACTCGGTGGATCTCGAATTTTTCGACGAAGGGGGCGCAGCTTGTATTGGTGGTTCTACCATTAACCAGGAACAGGAGGTGGAACTACTGCAGGCAGGCGGGGCGGCCGCGGGGGCTACAGTGGAGTCGCAAGCAGCGGTGGGCAGGCAAGATGATGACCTCGACGACGAAATCGTAGTTGCGACAAGTGCTGGACATCATCAGGAGGATCTCGGAATAAATGGCGAAAACACGACCGAAGCGGAACGTCAAGGCCACGTTGCAGACACGACAGACCCCCGTCTGGATAAAAAAACCACGAGCAAGGTGAGCACGACTGGGTCAACATCTGAAGAGCGAAAGGCACTACGCATTCCCCTCGGCTACAACCCTTGGGCGCTCAAGAAAACAACAACCCCCTCACAACCGGCGGCTGCTGGGGAAAGCGAAAATTTAAGAATTTTCTCGGAAGAAAATAATAAAGAGAACAATCATGACGAAAGAATAAAGATGAAGCAGCTGCACCTCGCTGCGTTCACGCTTTTTCCCAACCACCAGACGGGTGGTAGTTCTTCTAGCAGCCACGCGGAGAAGAAGGAGGCGCCGCTGGAGTTCTACGGGTTGGAAGAGGACATCGTGGACCACTGGGTGCTATGCATTGCAAAAGTATCGTACTAGTATAAATCGCAATACAAATTGGCTAAGCATTACAGATTGAATTTGTAATGCGGATTTACGTTTACCTTAGCAAGTAGATTTGTAATGCATAACTGCGATCACTACGAGTCCGATACTTTGTCACAGGATAGATTCCCTTGCTGCGGGAAAGCGTGGACTTCCTGCCCGTGCACGAAAAAGACGACTATGACCCGCTCAAGCGTTACAATCTCAAACGTTACAATAGAGTATGGAAATCTGTGATGCAAGAGCGCGTGATCTAGCCAACTCTCGCAGGATTGCGCATGACAAGTTCCGGAGCCCCAAACCCCACTAGTACAATCTGGCGAAACTTGTATTGCAGAAAGTGGAACGCTCTGCGAGTCTGTCATGCTCTTCATGCAAGACAAGTCTCAGACTCTATTGCAACGTTTGAGATTGTAACACCTGAGCGGGTTATAACGACCGCCCGGCGTTTTTGGAGATTCAAGTGGAGGACGTCGTGTTGGACTACGACCTATGGATTGCAAATATCCCTGGATGTCGGGAGAATTGCATCTTGTCATGCTAAATCTAAATCATGCAAAAATCTGTGTTGCATGAGTGCCAAAAGCTGTCCACTTTCGACAAAGTTGGGAGGAAATTTCTCGTGCAGGATAGGCATGACAGAGACCTCACAGAGTCTGTCATGCTAGGTCCCGCATTCCAGAACTCACGGGTCATGGAAAACCTGCGTGACAAGTTAGCACTCTTCCAGACCCAGACATATTTGCATTTGATACGACCGCGTTTTTCCGACCTCCGCAGACAGTCCGCCGGCGGGCCCGACGTCGCAGGGAGACATCGCAGACTTGGCAAATTACTACGCTGGGTCTCAGGAGCACCTTTTGCAGGACGGCGACGAGGACAGCGAGACTTATGTTCAACAACATAATGCGGAGATGAGTTATTTTGACGCGAAAAATAAAGATGACGAAGATGTTGTACATCAACTAGGCCAACATCAGCACGAAGATGGTGGTGGTGGTCACAAGTCGCTTGAAGATGACCCACGCGACGACGAGGTGGAGAAAGTAGTGGGCGGCTGCGAGGATGCTGATGGAGAGAGATCTACAACCGCAAAAATTGTACTATCTCCAGGCCGCGAGACTATGTCGGTTTTCCCCCCGCCAGACGACGAAGTGGAACAGAAAAGAGGTGGAAAGACGGCGCATGGAGTCGTGGTAGTACAACAAGAACACCAAGAAGACAATAATAATTTCCGCGATAGTATTGATTCTCTCTCCCGCGACGATGTCGAGGAGGAAAACTTTTCTTCTTCGTCCTCCGCAACGTCATCCTCCAGTCGGCCCGCGGCGGCACAACTGGATGGACACGATGAGGAAAATGTACTGGTGGAAAACAACCACGAGTGGTCGCCGGTCACGGACACGAAAGGCACACGGCACAGCTTTTCCAGCCACGACAGTGAGCCGTTTGTTCCCAGTCAGCAGGAGCAGCTCACGTCTGGGTCTGCTGCCGAAGTGGTGAAACAAGTGCAGCTTCCCGGGGCTGCAGCGGATCGTACTGCGGACGGGACAACGCAGGAGCAGAACAATGAAATCAACCACGCGTCGACGACGTCCGGAATTAGTTTGGAAGTGAACCCTCTATCTCCACGAACGGCGGCGCGGCAGCAGACGAAGAACCCGTTGTTGCTGAGGAGGTTCAAGAAGGACATGCACAATCTGAAGATTTTGCAGTCCAAGATTTTTTGGCGCGTGAAGTTCGGAATGTGCGACTGCAAGACGATCGCGGTGGCGCCCTACAAGGCCGAGTGCATCAATCTGCGGAAACGCTTCGCGGAGTTTGCCGGAATGATCGGGGGGTCTAGTCCAACAACTCCGGATCAACATGGTAACTCAGCTGCCCAAGCAACAACTTCCAGCAACAAACAAAAGCAGCAGGAGCCCTCAAGTAGAACAGCAGCACATCACCCTGACCCTGCACTTCTTCCCAACGCGCCCTTGACCTTCCGACCCTTGATGTGCGTGAAAGGCGGCCCGGTGGAGCACGCCGCGCAGTACCGCTGGCCGCGGGAGTGTTTTTTGCCGAAGTTCCCGGTGCAAGACTACGACGCCAATCCGGACAACTGCATCCGCTTTGAGCTTTTCTCGCAATCACCCTTCGCGGACAAGGGCCCGCAGCTGCTGGGGTATCTGGAGGTGCCGCTGTTTTTGTTCCAGGAGCGGTTTGTATAACAGTGCACAACTTCCTTGCCTCTCTTCTATGGTCTTCGAATCAATGCAAAGCCATTGCGTATGGGAGGAACGAATGCGCGCGCAGTGCGCGCGCGCGATTTTTTTTTTTGATTCTACGACCCCACCGTAGGTAAACAACTGTACGGCCGCCCTAGCGATCCAATATGTTTTCGTATGATTATAAAAAAAAGACGGCGAAGGAATATTGCGGCGAAGCAATATAGTTGGGGCTGAGTCCGTTACGGTTCGTTACGGCTCGTTACGGCTCGTTTGACCGTAACGAACGAATTTTCGTTCGTTCGTTACGGTTCGTTACGGTTCGTTACGGTTCGTTTCACCGTAACGAACGAACGAACGAGTTCGTTTGTGGCATCAGAACGAACAAACGAACGAACGAACGCACTGGCTTTGTCATCCAAGCGAACGAACGAACGAACGAATGCGTGTTCGTTCGTTCGTTCGTTATGGTTCGTTTCACCGTAACGAACGAACGAACGAAGTGGCTTCGCGGGTCCGGTAACGACCAAACGAACGAACGAATGGACTTTCGTTAGCTCGTTACGGTTCGTTTCACCGTAACGAACGAACGAACGAACGAGCCCGATTCTATCTCCCTACTATCTTCCTAACGAACGAACGAGCGAACGAATGGCTTTTCGTTCGTTCGTTCGTTATGGTTCGTTTCACCGTAACGAACGAACGAACGAAGTGGCTTTGCGCGGATCCGGGGCCCCGGAGATCGGAGACTTCGGGAAGCCGGAGTGCGCCTGCGGGGGGCGGCTCATCACAAAATTAGCCCTGCCATCCTTCGGAAGATTCCGCGCGGCGGTGCTATGTGTTTTCGAAAGTAACGTTTATAAATGCAGGATGCCGTCGTGGGGAATATTCCGCAGGAAGGTATTCTCGATTTATATGCGGAAGGGGGCCCTCCGACCGGATGCTACACGGACGACCACGGAGAGGAGTCGCCCGCCGCCCCTTCCTGAGTGCCAGCCTCGACTGCCAGCCGGCAGATCGTTTATCGGAAAGGGGGGCAAGCCCCGCGAAGGACTCGCCACGAAATCTGCCATGCCATCCTTCGGAATATTCCGCGCGGCGGCGCTATGTATTTTCGAATGCAGAAAGTCGCACGGAATATTCCGAAGGATGGCGCAGCGGCTCGACATCAACCAGCCATGGCCGCCAGCTGCGCGACGTGCGCCAGGAAAGGGCGCCGGCCGTGACGCACCAAGGGGCTGCCCGCGCGGGGGACACACATGCAGGAACTTTTGGCCCCCACGCTACTGATTCAGGCCGGCACACTCGGATGCCTAGAGCTCCACCCGGAACACGAGCACGGGCATGAAGTCGCATTTTTCTTCAACAAACAACAGCCCCTCCGAAGTACTCACTGACCTTGTTCGCTAAAGAAAAACGCACAAAGCCGACACCGGAGAAGACGGCAACATTGCTGAGCCGCAGGCCTTCTGCACAGTCTCGCGAGAATTTTGCCCCTTTGCAGTTTTCACGCACAGCCGTCTTTTCCACAAACTCGGATTCGTTCGCCAGGGCGTACCGGCTCCTGACGAGCTCGTTCGTTACGGTGAAACGAACCGTAACGAACCATAACGAACGAACGGAAGTTCGTTCGTTACGGTGAAACGAACCGTAACGAACCGTAACGAACGAACGGGAATTCGTTCGTTACGGTGAAACGAACCATAACGAACCGTAACGAACGAACGAAAATTCGTTCGTTACGGTGAAACGAACCGGAACGAACCGTAACGGACTCAGCCCCAACTATACTCCGGCGAAGGGTCTACCTTTTGCAGCCTTCACGCAAAGTAGCAAATTTCGCCCGACTGGCGACGGCGAGTTAGTACCAGTCGATTTTGACTGTAACGAACTCGGCGGATCGATTTTCTTTCAGGTTCACTCAACGTGCAGTGAACGAGAGGGGTCGAAAAAAATGCCCATTGAAGGGTGAAGAGGGATTGGGCGTAGCAATTCCCGACACAATACCTTGAGCCAAGTGCCCGGCACTGCAACACCTTTGGCACTGGTTTCATAGTCCACAAGTCTCAATATTGACAAGTCAAAAATACAAGCGTCGGGAAGAGGACTGCCGGTTTTGCATGACAAAAAATGCACGACCCAGGATGATTGTAGTGCTGTCTGATCTACCAGATGAACCTGTCATGCAAAACATGCCAAAAGGCAAAGGGTGCATTTGGTATTTTGCATGACAAGGTGAGTACTAGTTGTGCACAACTCTCATAGTCCGGGCAAACTGAGTACCAGTTTCCGCTGGTGATGGCGATAAAAAAGCAGGACAGCTTACCACAAGACAGCCAACTGAACAGCCCCACCGCGGCCGCAGTTGTGAGAAAATCTTCCCCCGCGGCTCCTGCAGCGGCTCCGGTCGTCGTGCCTACAACCATAACTGGGGATATTGATCAGCAGCAGCACGGAGTTGGTGAGGATGTTGTGCCAGGAACTTCTACAGCCGCTACTTCTACTACTCTCGCCCCACCCGGACGTCCAGCCGACGACGAAGATGTTCTTGATAAGGTCTACGAGGCGACGAGAACCCCCTTACGACCACCCGAGGCGGTTCGCAAGGACCTGCAGGTCGCACAGAAGGATAAAAAAGATACGAAGATGAAAAAGCGGGCTCACAAGCTGTTCATAAAATCAACCGACAGTTCTGGTCAGCCGGATCACCATGCCGAAGTATTCGACTCGGAAAACAAAAAAACGCCTTTCGACGACGCGCGCATTTTTGTCACGTTTCGCGTCCACTACAACCGGCACTGGACCAACGACCACTTCCCTGTTGAGCCACTGCTGAACCGGATGAACCAGCGGAGTCTGAAGATCAAAAACATGGACATGGCGACACTGTCCGTGTTATCCTGTGTAAAATCGTCCCCACCCCAGAGTTGTCATGCAAATCTGCATGCTAAAAAAGTTTCTCATGCGGATCGCCATGAGGGGCATTTTCGAGTCGTGTTGTGGAATTTGTGATGCTATAATCAGCTAGATATGCTAGACCTGTGATGCTGCTGAAGTACCTAAACAGGACTACACTACGGAAACAGACTTGTCATGCGAAACAACCAAAGCTGGCTGATTTGTCTAGCAGATTTCCCATCTTAACTCTGGTATGGGGACGCTTTTACTCGGGATACGTGTTTCTCGTCGACGCGCGGCGGACCTTGACGCGGTTGGGCAACGCGTTCGCGGTTCTGCGGGACTTTTTCGCGGGGATCAACTGGATTTTGGAATTCGAGCAGTACTACCGAAGTTGGTTGTACTTACTCGTGTCCAGCTGGTTCTTACTGTACCAATACGACTACTTTCTCGCGTTCTTTCTCCTTTGGGTGTGCTACAAGCTCTGGCGCCTGAACTTCGTGCCGGTGTCCGGTTTGTATCAAATGCAAATGTGTCTGGTTCTGCAGGGATGTTGCAAGGTTTGTCATGCACATTTTGCATGACCCCTGATGTCTATGATGTATGCCGTAGTATCACAGACTCCTGTGAGGGCTTCCTGATGCCTATACCGCAAGAGAAGTGCCCTCTCGCCGTCGCAAAAGCTGGGCCTTTTTTGCTGTTCATGCAATACAGATTTTTGTAGAATCCAAATGCAGCATCACAAGTTGCATCCTTCCAGACATCCAGGGATACTTATTTGCATTTGATAGTTTGTGGGAGCGGACCAAAGAGGAGGGAAAGAGTCACCGGGAGAAACGAAACCACCGCAAGGGTGGCGCAGCAGCACAGGGTGACAAGACCGCCGAGCAGAAGCGGGAGTACAAAATTCTACCTTTAATCTCCGACACACGCTTTGCCCGCTCGCTCCTGCCGCACACCGCTTCCGGCCTTCGAACGTTCGTGCGCAGCAGCCCGCGGGAGGCGCTGGCGTTGGACCTGCGGGAAATCTTGACGGTGCTGAAGCAGCGGCAGGCCAACGCGGAGCTGCAGCCCGGACAACGGCGGGTGCTATTCTGGACCGTGTTTGGCCTGGAGATGGGCGTCGTGTTCTTTCTCCATTACCTGCCCTGGCTGTACGGCTGGGCCTCGCACCTAGCCGTCAGCCTGCACAACAAGCCGTGGATCCAGAAAAACACCAGGTTGCTGCTGCACTACGGGTACCGGGCCGGGTTTCGGCTGCACCGAGTTTCCACTCGAAGGTGCAAGCAGCTGGTGGACTTTGGTACGGAGTTCAGTTTTGCAGCTCAGAAACACAATTATAATATCTTGGCACAACAAGAAGAACCACTTGTTCATCCCGGCACGATGATGGGTATCAACACCGAGCGAGCAGAACAAGCAGCCGAGGCGGGCACGACGCCCTCGAGGACTCTCGCGAGCTCACTACCAGGAGATCAACATCATGCGGGGGAGCTGGCTCACGGTGGGGCGGGGGAAGGATCACAATTGGATCTCCTTGTTTCATCCGACAGCGGAGCAGTAGTAGACGAGAGCAATGAGGAATCCGCGTCTTCCTCCGCAGCTTCCGGACTACAAGAAGAGGATAATACCTACAACGACGTCACGCGCCGGCCGCGAACCGACCCAGATGAGTCCTCCAGTCACGAAGAGGCCGTGGACGATGACATCCCCGGAAGGCGAGGCAATAATTTTTACGACAGAGCATCAAGGCAAGCTGCGCCTCCTGGCATCTACCTCCACCCCCCCACAGCTACAGAGGATGAAGACGCCACTAGCTATGATGTTGATAGCGGTAATTTTGAATTCAAACACATGAAAGCCACGGCAATAGCGGTAAGAACTACTCCCGTTACCCTACTCAGTCCGCCTTCCAAGAGTGACACTGCCAGGGCTCACGTTTTCGCTGAGGATCTATCCGAGGATTACGCGCTCGCAATTCCGAGTGACAAAACGTTCAAACGGGCCACCACCACCGACCTGCTGTCCAACAAGTCGCCGGGACAGAGTAAGAAGCGCACCCAGCTCCAGATCCCCGGGTTTCAAGAGAGATTGAACGATTTGGAGGACAGCAACGATGGCGGAGCCGCCAACAGCGACGCCGCGTCCCTGCCCAGTGCAAGGGTGGAGCAGCTGCTCCGGTCCTGGCAGGAGCCGAACTTTGACGACATTCCGATGTCTATGGAGGTCTTTGAAAACGAGCGCCGTGCGGTGCTGGTGACGAACAACGTGAATGCCGTGCTGCATTTTTTCAAGGGCAGCACGGATGAACAGGTGGTGGACCCGGAGGAACAACGACGCGAACTGAACATATCAACTGCAAATATGTCTGGGTCTGGAAGAGTCCGAGTTTGTCATGCGAGATTTGATCGACAGAAAAGTCTGTATGGCATGACCAGCAAAACAAGCCCCCACTTTGGGCAACACGAAGGCAACGTAGTTCTAGTTTCTAAATGCGAAATAAGTATCGAGGAGTCTTCTCAAAGCTTGTTATGCTAGACCACGCATTCCAAACCTTCCGGGTCATGCGTAGCCTGCACAACAAAGTTGCATCTTCCAGACCTAGACACATTTGCGATGCATAGAACAACGCGTTTAGCAAGTTTCAGCTCCTGTCCTTCAGCGGCTTTCAATCCGGTGACCCGTTATCACATGCAAAAATGCCTGGGTCTGGAAGGTTGGAACTTGTGATGCTAACTTTGGACTGTAAAGAAATCTGTATTGCATGACCAGCAAGAGGAGTCTATTTTGTGCTACCTGGGGAGGGCATTTGTCATGCGGAGTCGGCAGCAGGAAGGGTTCTAAAAGTCTGTGATGGTAGGGCATGCATCACACACAATCCTGGATCAAGCAAAATATGCATGACAAACCCGGCAACATTCCAGACCCAGACATTTTTGCATTTGATGCCCCTCGGAGTGGTGCGACGTGCGGAACACGCGCACGAAAAGACCTGCGCCGGAAAAACACACCGATTTTGGCCGCTACCGGGTCTTCTGGGAGTGGAGCATTGTCTCCAGTCCCGGCGTGTCCACAGACGTGGACGGGTGGCGATACGCGGAATCTTTCCACGCCGACGACTGGCAGCCCGTGCCGACGTTTGGTGGTGGCAACGGGGACAAGAATTTTGCGGTGCGGCGCCGGCACTGGGTCGCGCGCCGCGCGAGAATCACCCGGATCGGAAATGAGCCCTCCTCGAGTGCTGCTGGGTATAGTACCACTACGAACGCGGGCGACCACAGCAGCCGGGAACATGCAGGGAAGAAAACACGCATGGAGCACCGGTTCGCGAAGGAACTGCACGAGGCGGAGAAACACGTGAGTCCGAATATCAAGATGAAAAGTCCTCCCTCGTCGTACTCAAAAGGAGATTTGTGTAGCATGATTCATGATCACAACTCGCGTTGTGACGCTAAAAGGGAAAAGATGCAGACTGTAGCGCTGGCACTGGCTGGCGTGCTGGGAAACCCCTTGCGTCTTCAGCATCACAGGAAGAAAGTGGAGGCGGAAAACAGCATTACAAATTGCCTCAAGGCCCGTAGCGATAATTATTGCGTGCGAATTGGAAGGAAAAAAGGAAACAAGGAAAAAAGAAAGAAAGGAGATTTATTTTGGGATTGAAGTGTGTTCTATTTTGTGTAATTACAAATTGCCTGCAAACGAAGGAGTAACTGCGTCTCGTGGCCTTCTAGCAATACAAGCCGACTCGTGTACGCAAATACACCATCACAAATCTCGTTTTCAATATGGGGAGGGGGGATTTTGCCTCACAATACCGAAGGAGACGCCCCGGGTGGCGTGTCGCGAGGACGCGCTAGTCGACGCGAGGCAGCTGTTCAAGCAAGTGCACGGTCGTGCTTCTTCGTCCAGGATTCGTCCTGGCGCTCATGACAAATACGCGGCGGACGCAGTGCACGAGGATCTCCGTCGTGCTCAACAAGAAAATCTCGCGTTCCTCTCGGACTCCACCTCCTCGCCAGAAAAGGGCGGTGGAGCAGACAGAGACAAAAGCGAACCGTTTCTCACCCGCTCGAACGTGACCACCATCATCCACCAGCAGCCCTCGAGTCCGGTCTTCAGTTCGCCGACCTCCACACCAATCAGCTCCAAAAACGCGGCGGTTTTTGCGCAGCTCAGTGCCGAAAGCAGACTCGTCTCGACCATATCATCTCCAGGAGGACGACCTACTGGCGCGACTACTACGCAACAGCAGGGTAGTACGGGTTATTTTCCTATGTCGACTACACAAGTCGAGCAACGCAGTAGTCCCAGCGCAAGAGGACTTGCCAGCACGATGAGTCGAGTAACGAAGTTGTCCAAGACCAGCGAAGTAGATCATACCACGGGCGGCCGCGAGTCCTCGCACGACCTGGCGCGGCGGCATGTTGCGTCGGGGCACAGGACGGAGATGTTTGCGTCGCTCCCCGATCTGGGCACGATTGACTCCTCCGGGAATGAGGAGGCGGAGGACGAGGACAGTGCGCAGTTCGCGTCCCCGCTGGGGAAAGCCTTTGGGTCTATGACGTCCGCCTCCTCGGCCCAGCACCTGGGCAGCGACTTGTCGTATAATAACCTGCTGCAGCACGACGGTGGTAGTTCAACTACGGGAGGCCCGTTGATTATGCTGGGGAAGAACGAGTCCGCCGCGTCGTTTGGGGACGCACTGGATCCGGATAAGGATGGGCAGCAGATCATGCGCAACCTGTTTTCCCAGAGCCAGCAAGACCTGGCGCAGCAGGCGGCTTTGGAAAATGCTGCGCTGCTGAGTGCGCGGCAGAGGAAAGAGAGGAGAACAACCGCAGCAGCTTTAAACATATCACCGGCACCAGATGATGAAATTCCACGTTCCGCGCAGGGAGATGAAATCGGAAATTATGGAAATAACGATGCCCTACTGGACATCGTGCCAGGAACTACAACTACGTCGAATATGTTGATGAAAGGAACAAGTACATTAAGCGGTGGGCCACGACCAGCTTCCCCGATCATGAACGCAGCTATCCAGGCAGCGCATGGTACGACCCACAGCTTGGGGATTCCGCGAAAAAGCAAACGGGGGATGATCACCCACCAGCAGCTCGGCGGACAGCTCATGAACGCGAGTAGTTCATCTGCCGTGGCAGGAGCTGCAGCTTCCTCTGCCGCAGGAGTTGGATTGATCCCCCTGTTATTCACTGCTAATATGTGGTCTGGGTCCCCGGGAAGCAGGCGAGTTTATTGTCATGCTTGGCCGGGACGAAAGAAAATTCTGTCATGCTCGTTGTGCTACAGTGCCACTTCTTTGTCATGCAAAAAGGCGCCTTATTGTCATGAGATTAGCGTGTAGACATAGCTATGCTCAGATGATGAAACTTGCCATGCGCGGCTCAGCAACACTGTTCGCGAAGTATCCTTCGAACATTAGCATCGCAACCTTATAGGAATCAGACCCAGATCACGATATTTGCAATGCATATCTGTACTCGTTGCAAACGGAGTTCGAGCAATTCGTCGAGTTCTTTGTCGGGTATTTGGACACGATTGAGTCGTACGTGGAGGCATTTGAGAAGTACAAAAACCTGTTCACCGGGCGGGTGCGGTGGATCACGCAGTTGGTTTTTTTCGTCCTGTTCCTGCTGTTGGTGCTCACCATTTTTTTGCCAACCTCCCTCTTGATGTTCCTCCTGTTAATCAGCTACTTCTACGACGGGCACTTAGTGTACCAGCGGCAGCTGAAGAACCGCGAGGCCTTTCTGGCGGCGATGAAAGCGGACCTCATGCTCTTATCCTTGCCGTTGTCGGAGTTGGATGAGAGATGTACTAGTCAAGACGCGGTGCGGATGAACACAGGTGCTATAACAAATCATCTTGTAGATGTAGTTGCAACAGGAACAGTCGCAGGAGCGTCCTCGAACAGTCTTCATATTAAAGCCTCCCCCGAATCCGAAAGAACAGCAGCAGCACCACACGATAGCGGCACGACTACGATTCACCTGTACGGTGTGGCGAACCCGCAACTGCTTGCGATCCGGCACAAGATCGGCGGCTTTCGGTTCGCGGCGCCCCCGCCGCCGCAGAAGGATCCCGCTCCTGGGGACTCGTCTGTGTCGGAGGAACTCTCGAAGGACGGGTCTTCTTTATCTCCCACTTCGGCGGTGGCGAAGCAATTCTCGAGAGAGACCGGCACGAAGAAGCAACTCTCCTACTGTGCGCACTGGAGCCTGGACACGAAAATGCAGGACGTCTTTGTCTCGTTGCACCACCGGGGTGGAGCCGCGAGCAGTACTATCTCGTCCGGCACGGCCCGGCAGGAAGACGAGGAGACCAGCGTCGACGAGTTGGAGGCAATATGACAGTGCACAACTCCCCCTCCCCCTCATTTGTCATGCAAAATGCCCAATCCAGGCTGTGCCTCTTAGCACTGTTTGCATGACAAGTGTTCTGCCAGTCCAAATAGCACTACAATCCTGTGCAGATTTGTCATGCAAGACCTGCATAATTCTCGGTGCTGCTTGTATTGCCGTTCGTGCCATACAAATGAGGGGGAAGGGTCGCTGTGCACTTTCACAGGCACTAAGCGACGTGGAAAAGAAACTTTTGCTGTACCTCAAAGACCGGTGGGACGTCACGATTGACCAGCAGCAACTCCACGCACTATGGCTCTCGCCCTCAAGCACTCTCCGCGACCTGGCGCGCACCGTTGTGTACAAGTCAAAAGATGGCGTGTTCTTCCAGAAGCGGGTGGTACGCCGGAGGACGGCGGGGGAAAACTACTTTTTGAACCTGTTCGACCACGTTCCTTCCGACCGAAGCTTCTATTCCAAGGACAACGTCTGCTACAATCCCCAATTGGGGTGAGGAGGAGTACCAGCGCTGGGAGAAGTAGATGGATAGAAGTGCGGCATTATATAAGTGACTGTGACTCATTCTCATGTTGCGCAGGCTTGAAGATGCAGACTGTGACTGTGACATGCTTGGTTGCTGAACAACATACTTAAAACCGAAACAAGAGAACAAAACGGAGAAGCAGACAGAACGGAGATGACCGTTCTTGCCCTTAACGCAGAGACTCGTGAGTAAGTACTAAATCCTGGGTTCTTGTTGACCACATAGTACGGTCAGGACGCTACGTTCTTGTACACGACCACACGTCGTCGGCGTCACTCTATTGTTCCTCTGTGCGAAAAAAATGTTCCTCCGTTCAACATTCGCACCGCTTTTGCTGCGCCTCTCTGGGCTGAACGTCGTAAGAAAAGCAAGAAGGAAGATTCTTATGAAGGAAAAAGGATCACGATTCTATCGAGTTTGAAACAATACGAAGATCTTCACGGAGGACCGAGTACTGGAAGTTCACGTTCTTCTTCTGATCCGATCGTATCTATTTGCCCGCGGTCGATTTGGTAGTGGCTCTTCCTTGTCGTTGACACTGTCTTTTCTTGGCTCACGTGTTTTTCTTTTCGAAATTCATATTCGGGAGACGCGTCTCTTTTGCTGACCATGATCTTCAGACTCAACATGATCTTCCGGCGAGTTCATTCTTCGTCAAAATGGGCATCGCCTGCTGGCAAAATCTCAGAATAGAATAGAAATGGTGGCCGCGTTGAGGATTGAAAAATCAAAAAGGTATAAAATTGCAAAGTGTGAAGAGTACTTACATACTGTGAGTTTCAAATCATGACAGCCATTTGCTGTTCACGACGATGTGAGACAGCCACGAGCCTTCGCCACCACAAGCCGCACGTCGACCCGATAAAGGCTACATAAGTACATACATCCCGCGACAAATAGATTTACTACCGCGAGATAATGACGGACTTCTCGCATCCACCAAGAGCAAGAGCTCCCGCCGTCCGGAGACGAGAGCGGGTGATCGAGCTGAACCACTGCTTTTGGGGCATGCGGCCTTTGAAGCGCGACCTGCCGGCGGATAAACGCGGGACCTTGTCGATGCGGGATTACTTGGTGATTCCAAGGTTTAAGCAGTTGGAGCAGCTGGCAAAAATCGACCAGGTTACCAGCCTCGACTACCGCAGGTACAAGCTGCTGACCCTGAACGCCGTGGCGCTGTTTTTTCAGGATTTGGTACGGAAGCATCTCGACGACCCCGCGTTGGTGGTTCTCCCGGAGTATCGGGACTTCGTGGAGGTGGGTGCGTCGTACTACCAGAGCTTCGCGCAGGCCTGCTTCCCTGAGGACCTTGACCGGGACGGGGACAGCAATGCGTACTTCCTCTCCTCGAAATGCGCAAGTTTATACAAGGGCTGCGAGGAGTGGCTGGGGTTGCCGACCGCCACGGGGATCAGCATTGACGCCATCCAGCAGAATATCGCAGGAAAATAGAAACCGTTTCACTGTGAACTTACTTGTGATGCAAAATTTGAAACGCAAAACTTTTTTGTCTTGCTACACCTGCAAATAAACACTTGATCTATCTTCCACTGTGTTTAATATTTCACTTGGGCGGAAGCGCGCACGGCAAAGTTTCCGTGTCATGTGGAAAAAGGTTGTGGTGCAGATCTTGCAAAACAAAGAAGAGTGATGAAGCAGTTGCAGTTCTTTCCTGGGACACAGAACCTCGACTCGCTGCCCGAAGAGTCGGGCAACCTGACGAAGTTGCAAAAAGTAGTCAAAACGCGGCTCACGGGGCGCGGGGAGCGGAAAATCAAGGACGAGGAGCACCGAAAGTACCTGGCCAGCTGGGTGGTGCAGTACTGGAGGTGGGAGCAGGGATGGTTCTCGGACAAGTCCGAGGGAGAGCAGTTGCGTCTGGTCCGCGATTCTGACTGCACGAATCCGGACTTTCTCTCGTGGCTCTACTACCGGGAGACCGGGAAAGTGTGGGAAGAAGAGGAGGAACTTGCGGGCGAGCAGGTGGCCGCCCACCGCCGCAAGGATAAAAATTATGACGACGACGATGTTGTCTTTGTCACCAGCAGCATCGGAGATGAACAAGTGGTATACAACGAGGAGGCTCCGGTCCCTTTGCAGCGGGAACTACGGGAAGATCATGTGGCGAAGAAGACAGAGACACGACCACCGGCACGCGATGGTAATATTTTTGAAGGAGCAAGCGAGGAGCAAGTGCAAGTCATAACCAATAGGAGCAGCGGCCAGATCCAGACGGAAGCAGGCTTCGTTGTCGAGGAAGTAGACGGTTGGAAAATTTATGACGTTTTCAGTGCCATCAAGCAGGAGCAAACGACAAGCACCACCTCCAGGAACCCCCACAGTGGTGGGCACCCCGGGACGAACACGAACACAAGGCCAAGTGGTCCCTGCGCAGTCGAGCAACAGGTGCTTACTTTTTCAGCAGAGGACGCCACGCCCGACTCGCTGCAGGTGTCCGACATTCCGGAGGAACAAAGCTCGTTTGTATCCGAGCCGGGGCGGGACCTGCTATCAAATGGAAAAATTTCCCCTCCCCATATCGCAACGAGGTTTCTGATGCTGGATTTGCATACACAATAAATCAGATTTGTCTTGCTGGAGAGGACTGCAGGCCTATATCAAGACTGCGTAGAGATGTTTTGGGCTAGGCGCTGCGCATGGCAAACGTCTAGTCTGTAGGGCCACCAGCATCACAAACCGCCTGCAGAACGCGGCGGAGACTGTGGAGTTGCGTTCGCGCAAGACAGAAACGATCTGTGGCCACAAATCAGCATTGCAAATTTTCTGAGACGCACCCTTTCGATATGTGGAGGGGGGATTTTCCCTTACGATAACTACTCGCCGCGCCCCTCCCGCTCAGCTACCGGACCGAATCTGGCGAGAGAGACGTAGTAGAAGAGGGTTCTTGTTTTTCATTTTTCGTTGCACGACTTTCATCCTGTGCAACTTGTTCATAATAAATATGTCTGATCGTCTTCGTCGTGATCGTCAAACAATATGCCTATGGTGCATATTTGTAAAGATCCAACCCACGGATGAAATCCAGGTTGCTGCGGTGAGAGCCTGGAAGCGCAAGGACGAGTGGCAGAGGCGAAAACCTAGTAAAGGACCCACTCGGGCCAGTACTAGAAGTTTTGATGCAAACCATTACCGCTACCTCTACGGCCTCGACCCGGACCTGATGCAGCACATGCGGACCTGCGGAAACACAGTGTGCCGGCTACATCGGCAGTACGACTGCCGCACCTGCCAGTTCGTGGGCGAGCGGGCGTGCGCGTGCACGAGCATAGAGCAGCCGGTCGACTACCTGCTGCAGGTGCTCGCCTCCAACGGCTTGCTGCACCTGATGAAGCGCGAACTGGTATTCTGAATAAAAGCATCCCCTCCACCCCAGAGTCAAGATGGAGAATCTGCTGCACAAATCAGCTAGCTTTGGGCATTGCGCATAACAAGTTTGGCCTCGTAATGTAGTTCGGTTTGGCTAGTTGCTTCAGCAGCATCACAGACGTGGCCTATTATGCTGGTTGGAGCATCACAAATTCCAAAACGCGACGAGTGGGCGCTTCGCATGGGACTACGCATGGGAAACATTTTCAGCATGCAGAATTGCATGACAACTACCTGTGTGGTGGGGGCGTTTTTAAACAGGATAACTGGTCCCGGTGGAGTCCCTGCACCAGATCCTGACGCTATCAGAAGGAAAAATCCCCCCTCCCCATATTGAACAGGTATGTTTCCGAAAATTTGTGTTGCGGATTTGAGGTCACAAATCACACTTGTATTGCAAGAAGACAAGGACAGAAGCTTCCGCCCCATTATGGAAGCAATTTATCATGCGGTTGGGCCTAAAGGGGAGCCGTTTGCAATGCTGAACAAATACTAGACCTATACGCCCCTACATAGCCTGGGGACCTGGCCGCAATGCCTCTCTGCAATACAAAGCTGATTTGTGTACGCAAATCCAGCATCAGAAATTCCGTTTTGATATGGGGAGGGGGGATTTTTCCATTCGATAGACCCTGCAGCGCGTTCTGCTCATCGACACCATTAAGATCGACTGCTGCAACGCCGTATCAAATGCAAAAATCCCTGTATGTCTGGAAGATTAAGTAGAACTTGTCATGCTAAATCTGAATGATGCAAAAGCCTGTGTTGCGTGAGTGCCAAAAGCTGTCCGGTTTTGACCAAGTTGGGAGGGGGTTTCTCATGCAAGAAAGGCATGATAGAGACCTCAAAGAATCTCATCTGTCATGCTGGGTCTCGCATTCCAGACCTCATGGGTCATGGAAAACCTGCGTCACAAATCTTGCACTCTTCCAGACGTCCAGGGATATTTGCATTTGATACGCCGATTACGGCATCGTGCGGTCCCTCATGTGGGAACGGTTCGAGAATCTGGGGCTGATCGCACTGCCCCGACTCATCGTGTTCGAGGCCACCACCCACACCTGGGCCGAGTGCGAGGCGGTGCTACAGCTGTTGGAGTTCTGCTACGGCTACCAGCGGCGCGCGGTCATTCCGACTTGGCAGCGGGTGTGCCATCCCGCGGCGGGCGGGAAACCGGTGGACGTGGCCATGGAACTGCGAAGTGAAATGGAAGTGTTGAAACACAAGCTTTGGTACGACTGTCACCAGGTATGGAAGGAAGTGCATTCGCAGCTGCAAACGTCGTCGCACAGTAAACGAGCGTATCAAGAAGAAGGAGTCCCCGTCTTGTGGCGGGACTGGCATCGTGCGGGGGGCTGACGAGGCGCAGTTGTCGTTTCATTGCTCATTGATTTGCGATCGTGCCGATAGAAGAGCGGACCACGAACAGGAACCGCGAAAAATCAGTGATGACGAGCCTGGATCACCACCATTTCCGATCTGATGTCGTTACAGAACTTTCTCGCAGTTTTAGCTTTGTGATTTGTAGTTTAAAAAAAAAGAGCAAAACTTTTTTGCAATATCTGGAAGCTGTGCCGGAAGGAGCTAGTGTTTGATCTGCCGATAAAGTACTACCCACTCAGACTCACACTCTGTAGTTAAGTAGTGTTTGTCCTAGCGCTTACTTGTTCAGGAACAGCAAGAGAGTGGAACAGTCGTTCAGCTCGGTAACGAATCGCACTCCGTCATGATGTGAGCCGCGGCTCTGGATGAAAGAAGGATCAAAAGATCGACAATTATGTAACTGAGGTGCCTCGTTTTTTTCCTGACGAGAAGAGCAATTCGCATTGTCTACTTTTAAGCGAAGATGATAGCTGTGAGATATTCCTATACAAGATCAGCGTCAGCGTGCGTCGAACTACACCATTCGTTCCTTGCAGCGTTTTTCTTGTATTCATTTCTTGCAGCTGGTGACTAGAGAGCAAGCAAAAGGCAACTTCTTTCGGCGAGCTGCAGCATTTTTTGAAAGATTCGGATCGGGGCAATATTTGTCAGTGACAGTTCTTTCTTCGTGCAGTTCATAGAGCTATACTCTTCTGATAATGCTTCTGCTGCGGCGGGGCAGCTGCTGACTTCTTGATACTATGCACAGAAATTTTGTTGGTTTTGCTTTAATGTAAGTAGTTTAGATACAGCCTGACTACTCACTTCGGCTCCGGGTGGATAGTTGCAGTCAGAGTTCCACTTTATTTTTGAAGATCGCAGCAAACGGTTGATGATGCCAGGACGAAATCACAAGCAAATGTTTCTTTCTCGCCTCACTTCCCTGGCTGGAATTGCGGTTTGGTGCGCGGCATTTTTTACGATCCGACTGCAGCACGTCGTGGAGGAGCTGCTGGGAGCAGTGGAGGAACGACTGGGGGACACGACCCCGCCAGGTGGTCCTCGTGGTGTCCCACGCCCTTCATTTGGGGCGTCGAGGACCTCCAGTCACACTCTGCTTTTTGCGGAAGCCAAGCGCAGATCCTTTCTCCGGTCGGCGTCCGGAGGTGGGGCAGCAGGGGGGAGAGGACCACGAAATAATTCTCGAGGAAACAAAACCGACGCTCCGTCCGGGCAGTCGGTTTTTTCGCGGGAGAAATCGCGGCAACTAAGCGCGTTTCTCACGTGTGTAGTAGACCTGCAGAACAGCGCCGGCGAGGTAGAAGGTGAATCGCACGGCAGCAGCAGCAGCAGCAGTTGGTCTAGTACAAAAAGCACGGGCAGCACCAGTTCGTCATCTGCAGGAAGAGGTACTAGACCAGGTCATGCAGCATCGAACCAACGAACCGGACCGAACTATTATGCGGCGACATCAGCACCAGAAGGAGTCTCGTGCCCGATCTGTCTGGAGCCTGTATGTGTCCGGGAACATCAAGACCCAGCAGGACAAACATCAAGCCGCATCAGCTTCGGTCTGTGGCCGTGTGGACATTTTATTCACGGGAAGTGCTATTCGCAGATGCGGCGAGCGCGGACGTACCAGGGCCGGTGTCCTGTGTGCCGGACCGATATCACGAGAAAAAAGTGTTACAGTTACACATTTGTTGGAGTTTCTGCATCACAAATTTTCTCTGTGTGACAGAGAAAACTTGCAATGCGAAGATCATAAGGGAAAACAGGAAGGAAACGAGGCTCCGAAGCATTTTCTGCACGAGAAAGGTTGTCTGTGTTGCCGGTCTTGCAACACAGTGTGTAACTGTAACACTTTTTTCTTGCGATAACCGAGACCGAGGAAATACTGGCGCTGAATCCCGTGGAGATGATGATGCCATCAACTAGTTGTACTACCTCGCGACGAGGTAGAGTAACTGCAAGGTCGAACAAGAACAGCTCCGTAGACCAGCAAGCCAACCACCTGCTTGCGCAATTCCTGACTCTGGTCGACAGAGTCGTAGACGGCGGGGAACAACCACCTTCTTGGGTTAGGACTACTCCCAGCCGAGCGCCGGGAGTAGTGGTTCCGCAGTGCCTCCGCTATCAAATGCAAATATCGATCTGGGTCTGGAAGAATGCCAGACTTGTCATGCAGGTTCTCCATGACCCATGAGGTCTGGTATTTAGGACATAGCATGACAGATTCTGTGAGAGCTCTATCATGCCTCTCCTGCATGAGAAACTGCCTCTCGATTATGTCAAAAGTGGACAACTTTATTCGGTAATCATGCAACACAGATTTATTTTCCATGATTCAGATTTAGCATGACAAGTTGCTTTGTTCCAGAGGACCCAGACGTATTTGCATTTGATATCCGCTGGGCCGGTGCAACTTGCGGCCGCGCGCTCGCAAAACTGTTCCGCGTCGAGCGGTTGCGGCGATTTGCACGTGAAATCAGTAGCAGCGGTACTTCATCTGCGGGTCCGCCGCGAGGACCAGGAGCCGATGAGACGGCGGAGATGAATTCCAGTCGAGCGGCACACGTTCATATCAAATGTAAAAATGTCTGGGTCTGGAAGAATGCAAGTTTGTCATGCTTGTCTGGCGTGATTCTTAAATCTGTCATGCACATTACCAAAGAGCCCTACTTTTCTGTCATGCAGAAACGTAGTTTGTCATGCAGAATAGGCAACCTCTAGAAGCTCAAAAACTTATCATGCTGAGCCAGCAATTGTCGCCTCCTCATGATACGCCACACAGCATCACAAGTTTCCAGACCCAGACACTTTTACATTTGATAGCTCAACATCGGCTGGGGGAGTGCACCCGACACATCGGCAGAATCTCGGCCTCGTGCTTGCGGGCGGCGCGGTGGGCCGCACAGCTGGTGGTTCTCGCGAACGCAATCGGGTTCCTGCACGACACGACGTACTCTGGTTTGCGGGGGAACGAAAAGGGGGTGTCCGACGACGACCTGGCGCGGCTCGGGCTCGCGCTGGCGTTGCTGCGCAATCTCGCGCTGGCGTTCGTGACCGAGGACGCTTTGAAAAGTTTGTGCGGGCGGAAAAACAAGTACGGGCAACTCCTCGCTTGGACATTGCGCGTCTTCGCCGTGCAGTGTCTCCGGGTGCGCCCCGTCCGCGCTCCCCACGTGCGTCCGTCGGCGACCTTTCTCGAGCCACTGCAGCAGCTGCAGATGGCGCGCGACACGTTGGCGGACTTTATCCGCAGCGGGCCGTGTGCGGGCGCTGCGGCGATGACGGGTGCGAGTGCCTTCTCAGCAGCAGCCGCCGCGGTGATCGAAGGTGGAACAACAGGTGGTAGTAGTGGTACAATCAATGCTGGAACGTCTGCGTCGTCGACGTTTTTGTCGCGCTCCTTGCAGGGCGGAATCAATATCCTAGAAGCTGCAGCGCAACAGCCTGCTGGCCCAGCAGGAGCATCTCCGTTACAATTTCTGTCGACCACAGCCTGTGCTTCTGTCACGCACGCGGGTCTGCTCGCGGTGCAAGCGGTTCAGGAAATGCTGGTGCGCCTCGCGCTCGGGGAACCGCTGTTCGGGAGCTGTGCGCCGCGCGAGACGGGACTGTACTTTCTGGCGCAGGGGACGGCGCTGGCGAATCTGGCGAAGATGGTGTTGTGGGATGGCGGGGGGAGTCTATGTCGGCTGGCCGGCGAACTCGCCGCACTGGTAGCCGACGTCTGCACGGACGCGGTCGGCCGCCCCGTCGTCAACTTTGCGGTTTCTGAGGCGGAGGAGGAGTCCATCGCCGCCTTGCGATTCGACGTGCTGACGGAGTTGGTCGGCGCCGCAGTGTATCCTGTACAAAAGTATCGTACTCGTACTAATCGCATTCATGCATTACAAATTTCTTTCTTAAGGTAAATCCGCATTACAAATTTTATTTCTCATGCTGAGAAAAAATGCATCTATACGAGTACGATACTTTTGCAGTTCATACAGTGCTTCACTCCTACTCGTCCGGTTTGCCTCCTCCATATGTGCCGGTAAAGGTCGTTCCGGAACCACTAGCGCCACTGGACCACTGTGCCGCAGCCTACACCGCGGATCCGTTTGCAAAGGCGGAAATTCGGACGCTGCTGCGGCTCCTGCGGACCGGGCTGCAAAGCGCGCGCATTTGTCGCGTCCCGCCACCGGCAGGAGCTTCTCGTGGTTCTCGGCAGCAGCCAGAACTACAACATGGACGACCAGCGGGAGATCCGGCGGTTCGTCGCAAGTTGTTGTCCCGGGGCAGCAGGCATCATAGCTGGGCAAGTAGTACTGGCTCCGGGACGCCGCGGACGCGCGGTTCGACGCTCTTCGATTCTGATTCTGATCTCGAGGACGAGGACATAAATACGACCGGTTAATAGAAATTGCAGTAGAGATCCACGTCGGACCAAAACAAAAGACACGGAGCGTCCTCCACTGTCAAAAAACAGCACTAGCATAAGTACCTTCATCGTCTACTCTGTTTCTCCAGGAGCGCGTGTAATTGTTTTCCGTCGCAGGCGTCACACCATGAGCAGCCGTTGAAGGCAGTTCGTGGAAATAACAAGCGCAGGAGTTTCTGTACACTATGGAAGAAAGGATTTGAAGGCTGGTGGCAGAGCGCCAATATCCGCTTTCGCGCTTGCGAAAGATTGCGCCTTGCCCGCTTTTTGCGTAGATTGCGCCTTGAAGAAGAGAAATGAGTTTTGCTGCAACAGATATTATACTTACGAGGATGAACTTTGTCAAGCTCAAGTCAGCGGGACTTTGGTGGCCTGTGACAACATGGAATATATTGCGTAACGAGGCGCCTTATCTGGTGCGTACTCATTGTTCTTTTTTTTGGAAGAGATCTCATTTTGAAAGCACGCAGCGCTCGCTGCTGTTTTTAAAATCTTTTCTTTCCGAAATTTCGGTTTTTACTTGCGCAGATGTCGCGATGAGTCGTTTAAGTGCGTTGATTTCGACTTATTCGTTTTTTTTCGTTTTTTCACACCCGACACCGAGTGTTGAGTTTGTTTCCACTTCCGAGCGATAGTACCGGTTTTTTGCAGGACAACATCAAGGCTTTCTTCGTGCTGACAAACAACTCGCGCTTAGTAATCTTCGTCTGGAGATGTTGAAAACGCAACTCGATCTTTTGACCTGAGCAGTCTCGATTTTATGTCGCTTGGACTGGTTCAGTGCCACGAACTCGATAGAATAAATGATCGAAAAGACTCGGACAAGGAATTTTTGCTCGCATACAGTCAACCCTCGTTGTTCCCCAAAAATTGTGGCACAAAGAAAGTTTTTGTTCAGAGAAAGTTCCCGTTTTGTTTTTTTTTCGAAATAAGACCTTTCCGTGAAATTATAGATGAAGATGGCATCTTCAAAAGTGAAAAACTCCGTTACCACCGCCGCCGCCCAGGCTGCTTCCGACATGCAGCTCCGGCATTTCTCCGTTCCTGAAGAAGGGGCCTTTTTCACGCGATCTGCGTTGGAAACCGCGATGGGGTGGGAGCCAGGGAGTACGGCATATGACGAGTTGCTGCAGAGGGTGCGTGCGGTCCGCCCCAGTGCGCCCTCCAAAGATGAATCTTCCTCCGGCGAATCTTCCTCCAGTCCTCCTCCTTCGAACGAACTACCCGGCGCTATCGAGGGACCAGACCCTCATGAATTCGGCGCCGCACCGTCGGTTGTCCTGCTGGAGCCTGGTGCCGTACTGACGATCTTGCCCGCGGCCTTGAGGACCCTCGACGCGTTTCAGGTGGCGGAGGAGCTTGCGGCTGTCGTCGGATTGGAACATGACTGGTTCCGCAGTGCTGAGTCAACAAACGTAGTACCATCTACGTGCCATCACGACGAGGATCTTCAGGCAAGATCTGGTGGCGAGGAAGATGAAGGGACCGCTGCTGAGAGAGCAGGGCAAGTTCTTCCGGCGGAATCTTCTCGCACAACGAGCAATTGTATCGCAGGTGTCGACGACGCATTCAAGAATAAGCCGGGGCTTTGGAAGTGTCTTGAGTACACCGCTGCAGCCTTGTCCACGGCCGAGGAATACCACCGTGCGGAAAAACTGGTCGAATACGATGAGCTGCTGGAGTCGAAAAAGCGCTGCTACTACAAGCATGTCCATGCGCTGGACTATATCATCTCCGATCTGCAGCGGATACACGGCAGCTACAAGCGTGAAGTAAAGGGCATCTGCGACGCAGCGCGAAAGATCAAACCCGACAGTGGCACGAAGTCCGCTCCCTCCACTTCGATCATGCACCGGATTATTGCAATGTGGTCCGGCGCTTCGATGGAACGGATGGGTGCCCGTGTCTGCTGGAAAAACCCCGACTTCGTGCAGCCGAAGGAGTCTCATCTTCTGGCACCCGCCGTGGAGTTTTGTGTTGTGAATGCAGGGGGAATGGTGATTGCGAGTGGACGGCAGCTGCTGGTCGAGCTCATCACAGGTATCTTTTCAGATTTTTAGGTGCAATTGTCTTTGTTTTTGTGCTGTCGCTCGTAAAAAAGATCCGCTTAACTATCTTCGTTACGTGAAAAGCTGAGTATTGTTCCTTGGACGAGGAAAAAATAATTTCGAAACAAATTCATACTAACTCGCAGAACGCAGCGTAGACAGAGGATTTCCACCTCCGACTCCCGGAAATATTAGATTTCATTACCACTCCGTCCCTTCGCTACGCAAAGAATTTTACGTGCTGCACACCCTCCACATGGCGCTTTCTCGTGAGCTTGACCTTTTGGCGGGAGAGTTCGCGGTGAGTCTCCCCGGAAAGATGGAAGCAGCGGGGGGGCTACCGTCTGGCTATTGTGACGAAAAATCCCCCCTCCCCATATCGAAAAGGCGTGCTTTTCAAAATTTGTGATGCTGCTTTGTGGTCGTCACAAATCGAGTCTGTCTTGCAAGAGAGCAAAGCCACGGCTTCCGCTGCATTTCGCAGGCGATTTGTAACGCTGCTGCGCTACTAGGGCAGACGTCTGCCATGCTAAGTACCTACCCTAAGCCACCCCGTTCCGGACTTTGTATCTGTCTGCAGTCCTTCACCGCAAGACAAATTTGTGTACACAAATCCTGCGTCACAGATTTCCATTTCGATATGGGGCGGGGGGATTTTTCCTTTTGATACTAGCTCACTGAGTCTCAAGGTGTCCTCCGAGAAGGAGAAGTTGCTGTGGAACCAAAAGTATCAAATGCAAACGTGTCTGGGTCTGGCAGTGTGGAAGCTTGTCATGCAGATTTTCCGTGACCCATGAGGTCTGCAATGCAGGACCTGGCATGACAGATTCTGTGCGACCTCTATCATGCCTGTCATGCGTGAGAAACTCCCTCTCAACTTGGTCAAAAGTGGACAACTGCTGGCAGACATGTAACACAGATTCTTGCAGGGTGTAGACGTAGCATCACCAGTTACTGTGTTCCAGACCAAGACATGTTTGCAATGCATGAAGAGTATCACAAACGGCATCACCTCATCTACGACCAGAAGTGTTTGTGGAGAAGCGAAAACTTGACGCCGGTGTGGAGTGGACTTGGCCTTAAAATTGGGGAGCTACCCAAGTTGCCGCGGCTCGATCCGTTCTCCGTCAAACCGCGCTTCGAGTTCAAGCAGAAGCACATCGCTGCTATTTTCAAAGTAGACACCATTTCCGGCACCTTCCTCTCGCTTCAGATTCAGGGGGTGCAAAAATCTACTGCGCGAGGAAACGCCTCGCTGGGCGCGTTTGGACTGCTCGATGCCGACGTGCGGGTTGTCTTTCCGGGGGACGCGGCTCCCGACCCGGAGGCGGACGCCATCCAAATCAAGGTTGAGCAGGCAGATGGTGGTGCTGATGAAGCAGACAAATTAGCAGTCTACGTGGCCAACCGACTTCGCGAGCGCAAGTTCCGCGTGCCTGGTGTTGCTACCAGATCGGAAGCGGAGGCATGCGTCAGCGAGCTCCGCACCCTAGTCCAGCTTGTGCAGGCGACCCGGACTCCCGAAGGGCAGCAGCTGCTGAAACTTCACTTTGACGAAGCCTCTAGCTGGTGCGAGTCACTGCACGCGCCGACTGAGCAGCTCGCTGCCTGCGAGAACCGTACTTTCGAGCACCTCTCGTTTTCTGTGGACGGACTCTTTGAGGAACCTTCCCCAGCGGAGGACGAGCAGGAAGAAAGCGTCAGCGACCGTATGACCTTGTCAGGTGTTACAATCTCAAACGTTGCAATAGAGTCTGGAATTTACCTTGGATGAAGAACAGCATGAGGAACATAGAGAGTCTTGTATTTTTTGCATCCACAAATTTCACCAGAACAGAATTCTCACGTGGTTGGCCGCTCTAGCACCTGTCACGCGGAATCACAATCTGACCTTGCTGTGTCACAGTAAGGTCGAATTGTGTTTGTGATTGCTGACGAGAAGTTCTTCTAGCAGCACAAATCCGGATTTTTATAATTGTAAACGTTCGAGATTGTAACATCTGAGCAAGGCATAGATGGCGACGACAGTGATGGCGAGGAGAGAGAGGAGGATGAGTCCGCGAATGGCCGCTGTTCCGACGGCGCGGGCGGGACAAACCAGCCCGACGAGACCTCGGGCACCGCCGGTAGCTGCGCGGATGTGGTGCCGATGGAGGACGATGACCACCCAGACGGCATTTCTGGAAACGCGGACGCAGTGCCGCTGGATGACGACGATTTCGTGGGGGAGAGCGAGTCGGAAGCATCGGCTGAGGAGCGGAATCCGCGGATTCTCCGCGAAACTGATACGTGGTTATGAGGGTGCACAACTAGTTGTAGTACCCCTCCCCCTTGTTTGTTAATATGCAAAAGACCAAAAAATATAAGCGCTGCGGCTGCCCTCGTGGTACTATTTGCATGACAGATTCCGCAAATAAAGATCAAACAGTACTAAAGTACGCGCATGAAGAACGTGTCATGCACAGGCTCCATATGATAATGACCAGCCACCCCCCGGCGAAGGCCGCCGGGGAGGGGGCTGTTCGGTGGAGGTGTCCCGGTGGGGAAGGTGGCGCCAGCAATGAATCGCAGCGCGCCGCTACACAACCAAATAAAAAGAGCCCGGCCCATGTTTCGGCATCGGTGGGCACCCTGGGGGGCGCGCCTCAAGGGCCCTGCCTGTGTTACTAATAGACGGCGCCGGGGCGCGTCCTACACTTCCACCTGCTGCTGCATGCCCGGCCTTAGTAGCTGCCTGCGCGCCGTAGGAAAATGCGCGCAGGAAACTATTTCCGGGCGCCAACGTTCAAGACACCACAAGGGCGACGCACCTGCTGCCAGCGCGCGCGGTCGCTGTGGGAAAGAAGTTGCGGCCACCCTAGGTGGCCGACCAGGTTAAGGCGTGGCGCCGCGCCCCCTCTGGGGGACGCAGAGCGGCGCACGCACTTTGAACGGCCGCCCTGATCTGAAAGCGAAGTGAAACAATGCCAGCCGGTCGCTGCGCCCTAGCGAGTTTCTTTAGGGGGCGCCGCGCGCAGACAAGTGGGCAGGCTGTGCTCCTGGAGGTGGTCCGCGAGAGGGTCCGCGAGAGGGTCCGGGAGAGGCCCAATAAAAATAAAGTTTTAAAATTTCGCTTCCTGCCCCCGGCTGATAGGCGACTGCGCTCTGTGCCCCGCTTGGGGGCGGCCGGGTCGGCAGGCGTGGCAACATACCGACCGCGTGCCCCCTTGGGCTTACCGCTGTGGTGGACGTTGGCCCCATGTCAACCCCACCACCACCATACCACCGCGAGAAGCAGTGGAGTTTCTGTGTTTCCGCCGCATTTCGCGACGGCGTTACAAACTCCGGGGGGTTATCT